CTTACTACTCAAAATACAAGCAAATGTAAACGCTTGGAGGTGAGCAGCTACTGCTAAATAAATTATCCAAAAGTACACATGTGTGTATGTATGTATTTATAGATGTACATATGTTTGTAAACAAACTGATATGAAAAATTGCATTTGCCGCCTACAGTCATGACAATTCTCTCGCTAATTTTGTTAAATGTGAAAATGAATGATTAGTTATGTACTTACATGATTTACACTAATTGTTGTCGTTTGTCTACACGTATATGTATGTTCCTTTTTTGAAACATCAACTGGAAATAAACACACACAGACACATTTCGCGATACGAATCTTTGTTATATTGAAAGTTGAGAGTAAAATCGGCCAATGAAATTATTAAATAAAATTTTTGCAGTTAATAACATCAATAAATTATTATTACTCGGTTCAGTTATGTGTATAAGCGTTGCTCTTTCTCCAGGGTGCGCGACGAGGAATTGAGTAGAATTTGAGTTTTTCGTCAGATTGTTTCTGTGAAAGTTAATACGAAAAATTTCGAAGTTTGTTCTGCATGAACACAATGAAAAGGGCCTAAAGTGTCTAGATAATCATAAAGTGATGGTAAAGATAAGCTTGCTAAGTAGGAATAGGCTACTGATAACACCTCTTATCAAATTAGTTAAAAATAAAACTCCAAGCATCTTTCTACGACTATGGAGTGTAGACGGATTACTCAGCCGTAAATGACTTTTGTAAGAAGGCAGATTCTTATTCGTATCTGAGTTTAAATTTCTTAGAGCGAATAGTATAGATTCCAACTGATCACTATTTAATTAATGTGCGGACACCATACAACTGAGTCACATTCAAAACTGGGTCAAGCAAGTAAGGTAGAGTGTAATTTGGTAATGTGCGGGCCATTGAACTCCTTTGCCCAACGTTTAATAAAAGCCAAAATGCCTTTTTATTTATTAGCACAATCATTTATATGATTTCTAAAATCTAGCTTAGGGTCCGTTGTGACACCTAAATCGATGAAGTCAGTAACTTGTTCAACACTGTGATTATGTATCATATAAAGGATTAGAAAGATTATCTGGAGAAATACATATATTTGCACTTACCTTCCTCGTAGAAGCCCCCCTCCTTATTTGCGAAGAATTCGGACAGCCACTTTTCACAAGCCTCTTTTAAGTTCAACTTCACACCACCAAGGGCATTCGCCATGGACAGGAACAGGTGGTAATCACTTGGCGCTACGTCCGGGCTATATGGTGGATGCGATAAAACCTGTCATCCCAGCTCCCGTAGCTCTGACGAGTCATCAACGAAGTGTGTAGTCTGGCGTTGTCCTGGTGGAACACTACACCCTTCCTGTTGACCATTTCTGGACGCTTCTGGTCGATCGCCTGCTTCAAGCGGTCCAGTTGTTCGCGACCGTTTTCGCTTCATATTGTCGTATGTGATCCATTTTTCGTCGCTAGTCACCACCCGCTTCAAGAATGGGTCGAGTTCATTCCGTTTCAGCAGCATATCGCAGGCGTTGATTCGGCCCAGAAGGTTTTTTGCTTCAAATTATGCGGCACCCAAACATCAAACTTTTTTTTGTATCCAGCCTTCTGCAGATGGTTCAAAATGGTTTGGTGACTAACTCCCATCTCCTGGGCGATGTCACGAGATACCATATGCCGGTCTAACTCGATGTATTTCATGATTTGATCGGTATTTGTCGTCACAGGTCTTCCGCCGGTGTCGTTTTCACCGGCTCTGAATTTTCGAAACCATTCCTCCGCGGTTTGAAGTGATAGAGTACCATCCCCCAAAACACCATTAACCTCACTGAACGTTTCTCTAGCGGATTTGCCTTTAACGAAGGAAAACTTTAAAATAGCGCGAATTTCGGCGTTAGTGAACTCCATGTTTACACGTCTATAACTGTTGAAGACCTTTCAAATTATGTATAGTGTTGCCAGAAATTCAAAAGACAAAAAAGCGGAAGGGATATAATAAAAAAAATGATTGAAAATGCGGACTTTCCAAGCCCGAGGAATTTTAGAATTCTTCTTGTACTTAGAATACACATTGCATCTGTACTCTCTTAGTATAGATATTTTATAAAAAAATAATATAATAATTTTTCTGTTTGCGACTAAATTGCATACTCTTAATAATTTGTTATACACTTTACATTCATTTATTTAATTTGTCTTTACATATGCCAATTAATCAAATTAAAAAAAGCAGATCTAAATCTACCGCTGATAATTAATATTAGAATGTTATATGTATGTTTGCTTTCTTAAGTACTGATTTCAACGACTTTTCTATTACGTAAACATAGAAATTTTCATTTTAATTCCAATTTAAATAAAAATTATACATTTTTCACAATCAATTTTGAGCTATACGGCAGCTAAGATAATTTGTGTTGACCCTTGAGGTTTTATAACCTAATAAATTTTACTTAAATTGCGTAATATTGTTTAAAGAAGTAAATGAGTTTTAATTATAGACTTATATGCACGTGGTAAGTTCTCGCCCATTATATCTACTTTTCCACATAAATAATGTACACATGACCATTTAATATTTACATAAACGTTTCTGATCAATCAGCACTTAAAGTAGTTAAAATGAAAAAGTAGAAGTTCATTGATTCTGAATAAATTAACATACATTAGTTTTTACTTGAATTAAATTAAATGTATGCACTCATAGGAGAACATTAGGGTGAAACAAATAATCAAGTTTTGAAAAAAAAAACTGTAAGTGGTCGATGCTTGATGTGAGATCAGGGAAAAAATCAAAATTATTATGATTGAACTTGATCGCAGCTGTGGAGAATAGTAACGCTCGGTGGACCCTGCAAACGTTTGTGTTCATCAAATTTAATGGAAAAAAACTCGTCTTTTGCCATACCGCAAGCAACAAATTGCAGAAGAGCGCATTTACACCAATAATAGCAGAGTGACTTATAAAGCTTAAAGACAAATCTGATCTCTTTGATTCTGTTTAATTTATTTTCTCAGACCCAAACAGTGGATTTCCAATAGCCCAGATGGTTTTCGTCTCGAATTAATAGCAGAGACTACATTGAAGTATTGTATAACGGCATTCTTCCTTTTGTCGTATCTTATAGGGAGGTGTTACTAATTTTCCAACAGGATAATGCCCACATTCATGTAAGCAATATAATGAGCACTTTTTAGATTAACTGCTCCATAGAAACCATGGTCTGGTCGGTCTGCTCTCCGGACTTAACTACCATAGTGAACGTGCAGAGCATATCAGTCCGAAATTTGTATGCGAATAATCGTCATTTTTACTACTTTCTATATTAGCTTAAGGTTGCAGTTACCGGGCGGTCTAGTCTGTATGTCAGGCTTTTGAAGAAATTGATTGCATCGATGAAAAGAGATTTTTCTGCGTTGCAAGAGCCAGTGTAATAATGCATGGTGAAAAGTCTATATAAAATGATTACTTAGTTAATTCTAATGATAGCGGGCTGATTTTTATCATTTTGAAATAAGCTGTGAAGCATTTTAGTTCCAAACAAATCTTTATTTAATCACCATTTTCCCAAAAGACCATTTTCCGAAAAGAACCCGCTGCGTTATGATTCTGAAATGTACCGCGTTTTATTGCTTTGCATATGATTTTGATTTTTGGGTCGAAAATTTCTGTAAATGCATTGCATTTCTAGGTTGTATGCAAATGTTATTGCACTTTGCCAGCCAGTTGATTGATAACTTGTCGGGTAATTAAATTTGTGTAATTATAATGGTGAATTTATTGAGTGAAAGGGCTCTATTAAATTTATAAAATTAATTGTTTTGCTCAAATAATCTCGTGCAACATCTATAAAATAATTACAGTAAATTAGCATATTTATTATTATAGTAATTACAGCATGCATGGCGAGTGCACGAAGGCAATATAATACATAGTTTCAAAATATTATAAAACAAGAGATAATTATTAACAACTATATCGCCAATGCAATTTTCTAAAGAATCATGTTAAAAAAAAAATAAAGAATAATTGAATTCATTATAAATGAAGTAAATAACTATAATGTCATTATAATGTCACATTTCTGTCAACATCCGACACAACGCACGTGTGCGCCACCGGGCGTATGAGTAACGTAACATTTTCTGTATGACGCTCCATTGAACTATTGTAGTAAAATTAATTCAAATGCATTCGCAAGTGTTACACTTTAACTAAAAAAATTCAAAAACAAATTAATAAAAAAGTATATTTAAGCTCTATATTATTAGTGCAATCATATCAGTTCAATGAACTGCGCACATGACTATAACATTCATACATATAGAGACATATGCCTATACAATTTCTAATGTATACATATTTATATGCTCAATAATATGGATCGCAATTCACATAAAAATTATCGCTTATTTTTCTGTAATTTATAGAGCAACATGCGAATTATATTGCAGCGTATGTACCTGTGTGTGTCATATAAAGAATTAAATTAAATTATATTCACGCTCTAAATCTGACAGGCTCGTGCCAGCTCTAATTTTTTATGAAATTCTAAACAGAATGCTGGAATGCATAAAGTTGTAGTCCAACAAGTAAGGAAGACTAAGTTTGGGTGGCACGAAATATTAGGTATCAGCTGATATTTAAGCTCCCAGCGGCTTATCTGACTTTCACTGCAGGAATATAGCTTAGTAATATATAAGGTGCCCATGTTTGTAAAGCTACTTTAGTATTTTTGGCACATATGCGGGATTCACTTCATATTCATCAAGTTTTATTTAAAAATTCTCATCATTTTATTTTATTTTATTTTATTTTATTTTATTTTATTTTATTTTATTTTATTTTATTTTATTTTATTTTATTTTATTTTATTTTATTTTATTTTATTTTATTTTATTTTATTTTATTTCATTTTATTTTATTTTACTTCATTTTACTTTAAGTTATTTGTTTTTTGTTCATATTTTTTAATCACAAACATTTAATACGAGCTCTTTCTTCTTATTTTATAGGCAGAGCGAACCATATTCAATAACGAGATTGCAACAAAGCAGACACCATTTAATTTGGCAACATTTTCCTTACCGCAAATTATGACAACAAATCCAAAGACAGTGGTTGTAACTATCAAACAACAAGAAAAACAAAGAATACAGCAATAAACACAATTATCAATACATATAGATTTATGTGCATACATAGGAACATTTCGTAAAAATTTAACGCGATAACGCGAAGAACAACAGCAGCACCAAGACGCTCTAAGTCACCGCCGAAGAAGTCGCGTATTAAATTGCAATCAACTAAACCAACTACAACACTAGCCAAAATACAGTAACCACAAAAACTGCCACACTAACAACCAACATCTCTTTAATTAAAAACAAAAATAAAGAAAGAAAAGAAAACAAACAAATCGCAGCCATTCCGACGACATCAAGATGGATTCGACCACGGATACGGGCTGCAGTGATTCCTACAACAGTTACAGTAAGTCACACTCTAGCGGCACCTCGCTGAACTACAGCAGCGATATCAATGCGATTAGCGTCGATTTGGGCGATCACAACGGTTGCCATGGCGATAATGTCTCCTGCAATGGCCTAAAGTACTTACCAACTTGGCCGGCGATTAATTTGGAATTTCGTGATTTGACATACGAAGTTTACGATCTACATACAAAGAGTAAGTCGTGTGCTATAAAAATATGTACAAATTTATGCTGCAGATAAATTATTTCATCATTCAAAAAGAATATAAAATTATACAACAAAACCTAAAAAAAAATGTAAAAGAGCTAAACTGTAACAACATTAGGATAAATAATTTTTCCCAACAAAACCCTTTTAAAATCAATCAAGAGATACTCTTTTTTTTTGCTACTACATATGCATTTACGAGTTTGCAAGTATATGTATGGCACTTCTGGTTCATTTAAGCTGCGTCATTTAAAAAGCAATTTCCAAACTCCATTCACTACTTTGTTGCAAAATTAGCGAATTTTGCAAAAAAATGCTTATGCATCATTTGCCTACAATACATACATAAATACCAATAATAACGAGTGAGTCAGTAGTCATTATGGGTACAAAGTAGTAGCGCCATCAAATGCTACTTTCCACCTCAGGCGCTATATTTTTATACGTGTAACAAAATGTCTAACACACATAGCTGTATGAATGTATTTTCAAAAGGCGCTGCAAATTGATAATTACGGTACTGCAAGGGTAACAATAAAATGTTAAAAAGGCCGATGGAAAATTTTTTCGCTTTTTTTCCTTTTTTAAATCGGCATGAACAAAGGCTTGTCTGCTGATTGATATTTTACATACTGCCACTATGAATAGTAATATCGAGTGAAATTGCTAGTTCATCAACCAGCATCTCCCGGTAGGTCAGAGTATAACGCAGACCATATTTATATAGAGAATTACTCAACCCTCCCTAATATATAGATGACTTATATAATGACGTCAGCAAATGCTAATTTCTTTGCTTTAATTGTACGAGTTTTGTTTGAAGCAATCAAATTTGTTGAGCAACAATATTACCTATAAACCTCAGCTACACACTAGAATTATTGAATGCTGGCTGTACTCTAACTTGACCCCGTAAACTCATATTATTATTTAATAAAAATAACTATCGCATACCCTTCACAGCTGTTCCTAGAATAGTATAATTTGAGCGTAATGTGTATTGGATAATAGTGCGAACCTCGCAATATCGTTGTTTTGGATACTGGTTGACATGTCTCGTTAAAATGAATCTAAAACTTCGCTTTTGGCGCCAGTTAGAAGTATCAGGTACAGCCAGATCCTTCCCCTCCTGATCTTTCCAATGGATTTGGGACCTTCCTCTTCCCTTGCTTTCACCGGCGAGTACTTCATCAAAAGCTTTTAAGGCTGGAATATTCTTATTCATCACCACTGCATGAGCAAGCCAGCTTGGCCGCAGTCTCTCTGCGCGCTATATTTATGTCGTCGTATAACTCGTACAGCTTATCGTTTCATTATCTGCGATATAAAAATTTTTTTACGCAACTTCTCTCTCGAAGACTCCCAAAGACAACTTTGACCTCGTTCACGCTTCTGCAATATAAAATAAGACGGGAAAGTTGAGGGACTTACAGAGTTTGGTTTTGATTCGCCGAGAGAGGAATTTCCAACTTGACTACTCATGTCCATAGTAGCACGTGCTGACAATAGTTGGTGTTAATGCGGGTCCCTAGATAGATGAGTGTCAACAGTACGAAGTTTGTTTGTTTGATAACAAAATATAAATCGTCTTGTCCTCATTCACTACCAGTATTCAATATGAAACTTTCTTTGGTACCGAACGGATCGTATTGTCGTTCCCAATACTCATCGCGCTTCTGATATTGACCAGCGTCAACCAATGGCTGTGTAGTAAAAGTTTTGCAGAGGTTCAGACAAAGCGGCGCATTGATAACCCCTTATTGTACTATGCAGCTGGCTTGAACAAAATCGATGAGGAGATGATGTATGTGTATTCCTTTTCACGTTTCCTTTCCAAGATTTGATTCATCTTATTAGGCCCAATCAATTTGTTGACGGTCTTTCTCTTTCTTGGAAGAGTGTTCTCTCTACACATAATGGTATCGGTTCGTGGGTTGCCTCCTTTGCTCCTGCATAAGTCCGGTGTTGAAACTTTCTGTGAGTCGCCGCATCTTTGCATAGAATTTTCATGTGTCTTGCTTCCCTCTTCAACTCACGGTACCTGAAGTCGATCGCAACGTCGCTAGGAAGGCAACTTGCTTTTTCCCCACTGCAGTTTGTCATTCTCCATAGTACCTGCTCTGTTTCTGGCACTGACGAAAACCAATTGTTTTATGTAGCGGCGGTACGTGCCGCCCCACAGTTCCTGTATTGGAGTTACTGATGACTGATTATTAAAAAGCATAAAATTACGCTAAATGTTGTCTTTATTTTTAATTATATATTAATCACTTGAACAATTAGAATACAATAACTTTATTTAAATACAATAAAATATTGTTTTTCCACATTTCACGTTCGCCTCACAACAACTGGAATTCAAAATGTGAAGGTCGCAAACAGTTACTGCGCAGCATCAACGGACAATTTCGTGCGCACGAGCTCACCGCCATTATGGGACCATCTGGAGCGGGGAAAACGACATTGCTAAATCTACTGGCCGGTTATGGGTATGTAGCGTGTAATGTGAACTTAATTACATATTAGCTCAGTAAATACTAATGACACAACACAAAATCACAACAATAGTGACGCACTATTAAAAAAAAACATGCACACGTACATAGAAAATTTTGCCTATGACTGTAACATACTTCGATTGTTTAATTCTACTCTATTCACTTGGTAATTATAATTAACGTTTATCGGCAGCGCAAAGAAAACCTCCGGTGAAATTAATGTCAATAACAGTCCGCGCAACATGAAAGTCTTCCGCAAAATGTCGCGCTACATCATGCAAAACGATGTGTTGGATCCACATTTTACGGTGTTGGAGGCAATGTTGCTTGCTGCGCACCTCAAATTGGGCAACGAATTGAATCACAAACAGAAATTGGATGTGGTGAGTTGGTGGACAATGTACAAAGTTTCACTCAAATTTAACGGTATACAAATTTTCGTATAAACTCGTGTAGATCAACGAGATTCTCGGCATGTTGGGTTTGACTAAAGCTCAAAATACGATCACAATGCGCTTATCCGGTGGTGAAAAGAAACGGTTGTGCATCGCCTTGGAATTGGTGAATAATCCACCGGTCATATTTCTCGATGAGCCAACTACGTGAGTATTTTGCTAGTTTTTTTTTCAATTTTTACTAAAAGTAATCAAAAATATTTTCATTTTCTAGCGGTCTCGACGACTTATCCAGCTCTCAATGCATTTCACTGTTACGCGGCATTGCTCATCGCACCGGGCGTACCGTTATTTGCTCAATACACACACCATCAGCGAAAGTATTCCACATGTTCGATAAGGTTTATATATTGGCCGAAAGCCAGTGCATTTATCAGGGCGCGGGCGCGAATATCGTGCCTTATATGAAGCAAATTGGATTGACATGTCCGCGCACTTATAACCCGGCTGACTTTAGTGAGTATCGAAGTTTAGAATTTTACGATATACTAGTAAAACTAAACTAAATAAGATATAATAAAAAGAAAGCTCATATAAAAGCTTTAATGTGAACAGGACTTAAAGTTCGCATACAGCAACGAAACAATAACTTGAAGAAAGTGGATATTTTTGCTTCGCTGTGCTGTCAAAATTGGAAGTATGGAATTATTGAACAAAGCTAATAAAGTCGCTCGTAAAATAACTTCAGTCCAAAATCATATAAAATACTTATGAACTGATTAAAAGCTGCGGCGGCTCACTGAAGGTTAAAAACCGAAGCATACATACCAAGGAGATAATCTGGTGATCAATATTCATACTTTATGTTTGGAGGGAACACTTCTTCAAACTTGCTGATTGGCAGTGAAAGGGGTGAACCCGAAACCACATTCAATGATGAAGTAAAAGTCGTTCCATTACCCGACCATGACGAGCTTCGAACAGCTTTTGCCCATTCTAAGAATAACAGATACCTTGCTGAATATGCTGGGACGAAAGCATGCCCGAGGATTGAAATTTGCGTGTACTCTGTCCAATTTATAAAGAAGGAAACTTTTCTAACTTGCGCCATTTGATGTGGGTGTGGCATCATGAATATAACTTATAAGGACCTTCTCAGTGTGGCCTTAGACCTGACAAGTCGGCCATTGACCACATATTCACCATGCCCCAAATCTCGAAGAAAAGACCCATGAAAAGAGGATCGACTTGCATCACATTTTCATCGTTTTTAAAGCAGCCTTCGACAACACAATAAAGAGTTGCATCTACTATGTCTGAATCAGCTGTGAAAACAGAACAACGCCACAAACACAGTTAGAATTGGGAAGAAGCTCTCCGAGCCGTTCGGTACCAAACGAGGTTTCAGACAGGTTGACTCTTCATCGTATGATTTCTTCAATTTGATGCTGGAGAAAATATTAAGAGCTGCATACTAAACTTGCAAGACACAGTGTAGTGCAAATGCTGAAGTATGCCGATGAGATTTTTATCACAAGCCGTAACAACCGCGCTCTTAGTTCTGCTTTCTTCAGGCTTGACAAAAAAAAACTGAGGTGGGCTGCTACAGTAGTGAAGGAGGACGGGACGAAATATCTCCTATCAGCAAACAAACAGTCATCGAACATGACACATGCGACTCGCCTCCCCCCAGTTGCTACTTTGGACTGAGTAGGTAACTGAAAAGTGCAGTTCAGTCTCGACGAGCCAAGGCCCAACTGTAAAAATCATTTAACATTCCCGTCTTTAAATATGATGCACAAATAAAAGTTTCGCGGACGATTTACGGTCCTTTTCGCATTGGCTACGACAAATACTAAGGACGACAGAACGATGAGCTTTCACGATTTATACAATCCCAATAGTTCAGCGAATGAAGGGACAGCACAGGAGGCTCAGGATTATTAAGAAAAAGGAATTTGTATATTTTTTTAATTTGGATGCTTTGGTCACAGCTTCGGTTATCATAATTTTTTTATAAAAAACAAATTTTCTTTCCAAATAAGAGGAATTCAATTTTGATCTCTCTACTTTAATGGGGGCTAAGTTTGCTTTTAGAGCATATTTTTTAAACTTCCATTCTTTTGTAGTTATTGAAGTCGCCTGCCATGAATATGGCCATCACTATCACGAGCCAATGGTTGAGGCAGTGGAAAATGGTAAAGTTTATCGGTGGACGCCCCAACATGAATACCGACAGATAAAATCGGATGTGACGAACAAATCAGATACAACTTCCGGCGCGTCCTCCTTCGATGAGTTGGAACAATTCGAAGAGGAAATCAATCCGAATTTGTTGAAACAAAAGGCTTCCTGGTGGATGCAATACCGACTGCTGTTAACACGAATGATGGTGCAAATGTGGCGGGATAAGGTATGAGTTACACAAAATATAAACTCTTTTCTGCGCCTAAAATTATGTGAGTGGAACTTGAAAAAATGGTAAAGCTCCTTAGCGCGTTTTGAATATAATTTAAGGCACAAAAAGAGCTAAAAATTTTTCGCTATCTTCTGTATTAATATTTTCAAAATGTTCAAATCCTTACAGTCCTACATGAAACTGCGTTTCTATATGAATATCATCTTGGCGATCATTGTTGGCGGCATTTACAAAGGCGTTGGTGATGATGCCTCGAAGGCTTTCTTTAATTTCGGCTTTGCGTTTACGATAATCATAGCTTATTTGTATTTGCCAATGATGCCAGTATTATTGCAATGTAAGTAAAATTTGAAAACCTTAGATATTTACTTTAAATTCAACAATTTTATTTTATTTTTTTTCAGTTCCCACAGAGATGAAATTTCTTAAGCGCGAGTACTTCAATCAGTGGTATCATCTGAGTTCGTATTATGCCGCTTTGATCTGTTCGAAATTGCCTTTTATGTTCGTGCTGGCCTCCATCTACCTCATCATGGTTTATATAATGTCTGGGCAGCCTTTAGAACTTTTCCGTTTTGGCATGTTATTCCTCATAGCTTTTCTGACCGCAATGACTTCGGAGAGTTTGGGTCTACTGATATCGTCACGCCTAAGCTTAGTGGTGAGTAACTAAAAAGCATAAATTCAACATGCACATTTTATTAATACTTAATGCTCTTCACCAACAGAACGCCATGTTTATCGGACCGGTGGTCGCGGTGCCACTCATATTGCTCTCCTGCTATGGCATCGGTTATGGCAAAGCGGTGCATATACATCCGCTAATGCGTTACTTAATGCAACTCAGTTATTTGCGCCACGGCATGGAGGGTTTGGTGGCTGCTCTATATGGTTATGATCGTGAGGATCTGCATTGTCCGGATACGGAAGTGTTTTGTATGTTTAGGAAATCACAATTCTTGCTCATCATTCTGGGTTTCGAGAATCTCAACTACGTTTTTTCGGTATCTTGTCTGGTGCTATTCTACATAATCTTCACAACCGCCGCATATCTTATGATACGTCATCGACTCAAGTTGAGGACCACAAACAATGTGATCGTCCAGTATGCCACACACTTATTGGTGAAGCATTTGAATTTTGCGTCTTATAACTATTAACTATTTAGCTGCGTATTTATTTATGAATAATTGTACAAAGTTTATTTACTGCAAGTTTTAACTTTTATGGATCGTTATAGAGGGTGCAGTGCCTTAGTGTAAGGTTTTAAGAAAATTATTATTATTATTTTTTTTTTTTTTTTTGAAGTTTATACTACTTAATCGCTGTTTTGCCATTAAAAACAAAGTGTCACCTTGTGATCAATTTTTATATAACACACTTACACATAAAAGTATCCTGTACTTGTACTAGTTATGAATAATACTTATGATCTTAACTAATGCTTAACCCGGTGGTTTAAAGTGATATTAGATTTAAGTAAAAATTACAAATGAATATAAATATATTTTGTACCATTTATAAAAATCTTTCATTTCGCCTTAAGCTAGAGTCATAATTATCTGTGCCCTTAATATGAATGCCTTTGGTCTCACCTAAAACAGGATGAAATCCATACTAAAGTATATGCATCACAGTATACGTACTTGCCTTTTATATATCAGAATTGGCAACCCTAGTCTTACAATCTGACAACTTACAACTTTATCGTAAAGTTTGACATTTTCGAGGTTATAAATACTCAGAATACTCATAGGAGGGATATTTGCGTTAGTTACAGTAACTAAAAATATTCTTTACGGCTAAAAAAAATGGATTTAAATCGCTTACATTATTTCGGTTTGTTCTAAACTTTCGACAACCAGAAACAGGGCATCGAAGAACTTAATTCGATGGAATGGTGAACTCAATCAAGGTCGTAGCTCACTCTGGGATGCATTAAATTAGACGAAAATAAACAGCAGTCGACTGTATGGGTGTTCAAAAATGAGCCGAATACATGAAAATTGAAACTCCATCAAGAGTCAAAAATGAGCCGAATACATGAAAATTTTAAACTCCATCAAGGGTCAATGTTTATTAAACTATTTTTGGTATCGAACGGCTTAGAAAGTTCATACCGATCTTGAAGAATCTTCTGATCAGTGCTTTCAGAGAGCAGGGTTATAAGACGAGTAGAAAGCCGTTCGGGTGTCTGTTGTGATTACAGCTTTATGACGCCGAACTTTCCCGGTGTTTTTGTTGACGAGCGTTCTTTAATACACAGAGCTGAGAACGTATATTTGCTACTGCAAGATAGTGGTCCGAGTCGATGCTGGGTCCTCGAAGTTTATGCACGTAAAGAACACAACATCATCGATCTGGTCTTGAGTTTTTCGATAAAGGGGCAGTCAGGGTTAGGCTGTAGGGGCTACCGATTTTTCAAGCCGGATTTAGTTAGGCCTGACTAAGACCCATTGTGATGCCAAAAGAATGGGGACAGTCAAATAGCTTGATGAATTTTCTTGTGCACGAATCTAATAATGCACACAACCATATTTTGAGCGAAGTCGATAAGCCTAAGATTGTTTGGGAATCCCTTTCTTCTTCTCTTCTGTCGGTGCGTGGTGGAAAATCTGTCATAGGTTAAGAAACTTCGCTTTGATGACGACTTTGGCGATGCGTTGATCCACCGGGAAAAATGTCAGTACACGGCGATGAAGTTTCTCTCTGGACCCATGAGCCCAGCACCGTATTTGCTATCCTTTATTTGACCGCTTTAATAAAAGTAACGGCGGTGATTTCAGTGTTTTTTCTTCCGAAGACATCAACTAGCTGGTCAGCAGCACCTTCCCAATTAAGGGATCGGATATTCCAGGTGAATGCCCTTAATTATAGCTCTAAATATGTTTGCAGTGGTCGTCATAAAATAAAAAAATATCTCATCCGTGGTCTTATTGAATTTTTTTTGGAACTATTTTTCAAACTCAGCACATAACCTCGCTATACACATTTATTTGGCTTCTTCTCTTTTAGCCGTTCATCAAGGCCCCAACCCGTTTTTTACTGCTTCTTGCACAAGGTTTGCTCACATTTCTAGGATGCGCGAAGTGGACGCACGAAACAAAATTTTAAAATATTAAAATTTCCTAAAAATATTTTATAAATGTGAAGACTAATATTTTCACCGCCACTGTGCAAGTCTTGTGTTAACTAGCTGCTTTCATAAACCGCTCTAAGCTTTACTCTGCAATGATAATATTCACAATAGAGGCAATCTGATGTATGAAAACTTTTTAGCCGTTAATTTTATAAAGTTTATGACAATGTGTGTGGTATAACAACAACAACAAAAATCTGAAATTGAATTTTAATAAGTGTTTTAATGGCAGCACGTGCGCTTAATTCATATTTTTCGAAAATTTAGTGCAGCTCATAAAAGCTTCAAGGATATTTACAAATTGATGAAGTTCATTAAAATATTTATTTAAAAAAAATTGATGTGGATGCTTTTTCATTGCTCAAGCATGCAAATATTGATGAATAAGTGATTCTTCCTGATGCTTATGTTTTCATTTTTTACTTTATTTTAAAGCAAAACAAGTTCCTGATTATCAAGTAAATGCGCCGTAAATAAATAATATGACGTCTGCGCAGAGCTTAAAATGGAAAACTACCACAATAACAAAAACAAAACAAAAAAACAAAAATAGTGCAGAAGGAGTAGCCGCAAAAGGGAGTGAATATTTAGCTGAATATTGACAGCAATTTTTGTTTCATTTTTTATAAAGAATTTTATGGTATTAAATAATATTTGGGACAGCAAAAAAAAGAGGACTGCACTTGTAATAAGCTTTTTATAAAAAAAAAAAATATAATTAAAAAAAAAATGCAATCAATTAAGGATCGTTTAATACTCGCTCATTTTCACTTCGACACAAAAACATGATATGGAAAACAATTAAACTTGTTCTTGAATTCACTAAACTGTTGGTGGGATGTACGCGCCGTCGCTTTTAATATCCGACTCTACTATGTAATGCATCTAGGTAATCAAAATACATATGTATGTACATACATACATAATGACGAGTTCGATTTAAAATAATGCAATTTCGCATTGACTGTGGTCAGTAGCACACAGGACATGCGCCGGTTGAGTACGCCAAGTTTAAAAACTGATTGCAATAAATTTGAGAATCACTTGACTACTGTATTTTTTGAGTTGGATTGTTTTTATCTCGTGTGCGAAAAATGAAGTTCTCATATTTTTACTATTTTTGCATTGTCAGTGTAGTGGGTTAGTATATATAATGAAACAGAAAAAAGTTAAATTAAAAATATTACCGAATAGTGATTTTGGTGAAAATAGTCATAAAATATATTAATTGGACTTAAAAAAGTGGCAGAATAAATAACTTTTAAACAATCATGAACGCAGTGATTTTGTGCATAAACACTAACATATCTGAGTGCCTCAGCCAGAATCGCTGTAATTAAGTGCAATGAAAATTAAGAACTTTAAGCTAGTCTCATAATTATCTATATAAAGGGTGTTTTCTTAGACGTGTGGTTTTTAAATGAGGCAATAACTTTTTCGGATTTTGTCTCTTTGACTGCTGTTACTTGATTTACACTCAGTTTGGTTTGCCATTTCATAATAAGCAGACTTACTGGCTTCATAGCTATCGGGCATTAAACGTGCTTCGGCTTTTTCGTATTACATACGAGAAAATGCTGACGGAAAGCACTGAGAGCTAGACAGCAACAGAAATTATGTTACACCGATTCTTCCACACCTATACCCCTGCAGCCGCGGCAAAAGTCCTTTGAAAAGCAGCGCATCCTTCTACCAAGAGTTCTCATATGACTGTTTGCCGTTATTGCGCCGGTTGTTGAGTAAAGACTTAGTTCTATGGTCATATTGCACAAGGTTTCACCATTCGCCATCTGCTGTTCGGCGTTCCGGTGAAAGCTAGTCTTCACAGTTACTTGGCCGAAAGAAGAGTTGCGATCACGTCTAAAAATCTACAAAAATGTTCAATTGGCAAGATAAAAAATGCTGGGCAAATCAATTATTGCCGAAAGCTTCGAAGTGATAGATATTTCGTATCATGATAGCTGGCATGCGGACCTATTTTCTGCATACGGCCCCACAGCCGCAGTGTTCTCTTCGCGCGAAATCATTTTGAAAACATATTGGCAAACCCTTATCTTTTTAAGAAAACTAAAATCTTGGTCATAATACTAAATTATGCCGCCTATTGACTTCGAAGCTATCAGCTAATTTAGTTCAAATCTTCAGGGTAGCTTCGTTGAAATCCAGAGAATGTTTTGAAAGAATCAGAAAAAGAAAAATCCGAAAGTGTCTTATTTATTGCTCGACTTACTTGAAATTTTGCATACAGATACCTCATTGCGTAAATTGAGAAAAAAAATACCTTTTTTCTTTTGATGAATGGTCCTAGAACCGATGTTTTCAAATTTCTATTTATTTATTTCGATCGAAATGGCAGGAAACCGTTCTTATTGAGGCAAATATTTGTATGGCTCGATTTTGTTTGTTGGTCTAGACAAACGAATGCTTGAGTTCGATTAACATACACCATACTATCTTCTCGGAAAGATGAGCACATATCAACAAATCGACTGAAATAGATATGATTTGGATCCGAACTTTTTATATACTGCGGTCGCAGTTTTGAATTGAAGAATGTGGTAATATCCATATAGTTGCCAAACAAAGATGACTGCAGCAACTGATCTCGGAGTGATCGTTTCATTTGCCTCAAATGGTCCATTCGCATAGTCCAATTTAGGCATACTCTTTCCAACATTTCGGTCGGTAGCCCACGAATAAATGCTTCAATGTTGTCCTTCAATACGTCAATTGAAGCGGGCTTGTCTATATAGACATAAGATTTAACATAGCCTCACAGAAAATAGTCAATTGACGGGTCCCGAACGTGAAATAAAATGTTCGCCGAATTCTCTTCTCAATAAGTCCATTGCTACGTGTCCTGTGTGGCACATGGTACCGTCTTGTTGAAACCACATGTCATGCAATTCAAGCTCTTGCATTTCGGGAAAAAAAAAGTTTGATATCATCTCACGCTAACGCTCACCATTCACAGTTACGTTACGATTCGCATCATTTTTGAAGAAGTCCAATGAAGCCACCAGCCTATAAACCGCACCAAACTGTGACTTTTTCAATTATTTGCAAGCGTTGTCCTTTTGTTAGACAATTCATGGTTAAATTATAGACCAAACTGAAGATGTTTGACAGTAATACAAAACACGAAACGTGCTTCAGGTGTTTACACCAGTGATGCTAAAAAGATAATAGTTAAAAAATCACCTTTTATAACGTGGCCTAGTACTCAGATTTTTGTGACATCATAACGTGGCGCATTAAAACACCCACCATAAAAGGTTCAAACACCCCTATCCGGGAGGGCTCAAGAATTCTCCGCGGAAGAGGCGACTAAAATTCAGAAGTTCCCGCGACAGTTGATTCTTTATACCGGAAGGACCCGGATTTTTAACCGTCCAAAATTCTTTTTGCTTTTTAATATAATTTTTTCATTAAATTTCTTTTTTTACTATAGAGTTTGAATCTCAGCATTATATGTGAAACAACATCGAATCATTCGAATGACCGCTTCGCGAATGTTTGCTAACTTCGATCCGTTTGAAGTAATTTTGACTACTTTTTGGGCAGTATCCGTTTTATCCGCGTAAAAACGATTTTTCATGTGACTTATTGACCTCGCCAAGACTAGAAATTACGCTGCCCGGAAATTTCTCTCTCAATAAAACCATATTCGCTTGTGTTGTGTGGCATGTGGCACCATCTTGTTGAAACTACGTATAATCCAGGTCGTGTTGTCATATGGCTATTACCCTCCGAATTGACAGTGACAGTTTCACTGTTGTTGTTTTCAGGGAATTACACACAGGTTTTGTAATGAGGTAATGAAGATTCTCCGAGCCCTTCAAAACAAAAAAGCAACATTTATAACCGTTACTTTCACTCGTGTTTAACTGTCCCTTGTTAACATTTTAAACAGCCTTGCCGTATATTTGGGTGATAAGAGTTGGGGATTGCAAAATGTAATCTGATTGAAAGATGGAGAAGATTAAGCTAATTATTTTAATATATGTATGTATGTATTGTGTAAGTAACGTTCAATTAAGTACCTTCTGAGGAATAGTAATATTAAAAAAAGTCAGTAAACAAGGTTATCATTTGATTACTTGTGTATGAAACTTGTCCCATTACAAGTATGAAATACACGTGTTCCCACGTCCAACTGACCGCTGATAACTGTTTTAGAGATTTTTTTTAAAATTCTATTTAAACAAAAGTCCTAGAAATCAATTTAAGGAAAAATAGATATATATATACATATGTATGTATGTGTGTACGAGCATTGAAAATTTTTTCTCAACTCCTCCTTTAATCATCTCACACTGTTGGCATTTCCTTTGTTATTTTCCATGCTAATAATTCACTAACCAACCGCACGCAGCACTCTACAAGAACAAAGCGCAGATATTTCAAAACCAGTTGGGTTATTGTGAGCCATTTACTGTTGAATTTATAGCGGGACTTGTTTCAAAAGAGGCACGTCAAATACTCGATCCAGGATCACGTCCAAGACAAAAGCAATTGCGATACGATCTGTTTACACGCCGCAATCCATACAAACGACAATTACTGTTAACTGGCGATCGCAACCGGCTGTTGGCCTCGAACTTTAATGCCAGTTGGCCAGTCAGGTGAGTTGCATACGAAAATGAGTTGTAATGAAAAATGAAAAACGAAAACTGGATAATAATGAATCATTTTGTTGAACTTGAACCTTTTTCATTGCACCAGTGAGATGCGGAAAAAAAGTCATGAAGAATTCTTCAATAATTTATGTACCGAGCCACCGAAGAGCAAATTCACCAAATAAGAGTTTTTTTCATTTTTCTTTTCTCAGATTATCCATCCACGGCTGGAATGGCCAGACAACAACCTGCTCGAATGCCGCCATCAAAGATGCCTACCTCGCCCGCTCTGACTACAACGTAATTCTTGTTGACTGGTCTGATTACTCCTTAGATATCAATTATTTTCGCGTTGTCACGGAAATTTACGAAATCGCACACCAGCTCACCAACTTCACACGTTTCCTGCACAACCACACCGGCACCAGCTTTAAGGACATGTATTTGATTGGGCACAGCGCTGGTTGTCATATCGCAGGCATGGCCGGCAAGCTGCTGCATCCGTATAAATATGGTGTGATTTTCGCTTTGGACTCCTCTGGGCCTGTGCATCGTTCATTGGATGCGAAGTGGCGTCTCGCGCCAACCGATGCCTATTATGTGGAATCCATACAAAGTGATGTGGCGCTGTTTGGCTTCCCCGCTGATAATCTGGCCCACGCCTCGTTTTATCCCAATTGGGGCTTGGGTCAACCGCATTGTCCTAATGTGACCACAATGGAACCGGACTTCACATGTGATCATTTCGGTGCATTGTATTATTTTGTGGAGTCTTTGCAGAACCCAAGAGCTTTCGGTGCAGTAAAATGTAAAAACTATGAGAGCATCGAGAATTATAAATGCGGCTGCGGTGCACGGCAGTGTAAAGCGAGTGACTATATGGGCGGAGATCCGGCTGTGCCGAAAAAAGGAGTCTTCTACTTTAGCACTCGCGCGACTATGCCCTTTGGATATGGTGATATTTGTAGAATGAAGCGACCAATTAAGTCGACGATAACGCGTATATAATAGATTTTAAGGCGTTGGGCAGGACAATATTTTGAATTAAATAAGTAAAAATTAAAATATTAAAAAATTAAATAAAACATAAGATAATAAAAAATAAGTTAAATTAAAAAAAATTCAAATAAATAAATAAAATAAAATAAAAATAAAATAAAATGTATAACAAAACTACAAAAACCAAATTAAAAAAATTAAATAAAGCCAAATAAAATAAGTGAAAAAATGAAATAATATATAAAAGTTAAATAATTTAAATTATATGAAATAAAATAACAATAAATAATTTAAATTAACTGAAATTAAATAAATAATTGAATAACTAAAATAAAATGGTGGAAAAAAATTTTTTTTAATAAATTGTAAGAAAAAACAAAAATAATTTAAAATGTAGTAAATAATATTAAACATATAAAATTAACTTATATAAAACATAGTAAAATATATGAAATAAAACATGAAAACAGAATAAAATTAAATTATTTTTAGTAGAAAATATAAAAAAATATAATAAAATATAATGTAGTATAATAAAACAAAATTAAATTGAATAAAATTAAACAAATTAAAATGATAGTAAACAAAACACCATCAAATTAAAGTAATTAAAATAAATAAAATAACATATAAAATATAATTAAAATATAAAATTAAAATTAGTAATTTAATAAAATGAAATAAAATTGAAATTAAATAACAAATAATAAGTTCAACTTAAATTAATTAATATTTAACTCAAAAAAGAAAACGAAAATTTGAAATCTTTCGATAATGTTTATCACATTTATTTGCTTGTTTTATTTTCACTTTCATTGATTAGATCTTTACAGCAATTAGTTAATATTGTATATTAAACTTTTTTGGTTTTCGATTCACATGAATTGCAAAAAATCACAAAATATATACATATCTTAACATTAAAAAAACAACAGTTTTTAAATACATTCATTTATGTAAATACATACAATACATTACGTTTCGTTCTTTGGCGTAGAACTTTGCACTTATTCCTATTTCCGCATACATAAATGATATGCAGAAAATGACACAAAATATTAGGGACTTTTGCTTAAGTAAGGGCACGATTTGTTTTTTTTTTGTTTTGTTTTTAAGTTTGAATATGGCTGAATTCAAGCTTAACTTGTATAACTATGTTATGCATGTCTTAAAAGCTGAAAGTAATTATATTAAATATTTTACAAAATTCTTTAGCTAAAAGCATGTGGAACAGCAATTTGCGACATATTAAAATACTGGACAGTTTGTAACTTAGAATCAGTAGTTGAAAGTGTTAAGAAAGCAATGAAGTTGCAAGAAAACCCCCTTTGTTGTGCTAAGTACAGTTCATTCGTTTCTAGTATTTTCTTTAAAAGATATATAACTTAACAATTACATAAACCACCACCACGTTTAAAAGAAATAACCCATGAAGCATCAATTGCTATTAAATTACGTTCGTTTACATATGTATGCGCGATTATATGTAAAGAGGAATATAAATGAAATAATTAATGTTCGACTCCTTAGATTACTAACATAAAATCCCAGATTTCCTTTGGCAAATATGTAAAGTTCATTGAAATCTCACTCCGGATAATACATCTGTTGGTGATGCGCATTTAAGTCTTATAAATAAATATATGTATTTATATACAAAAAATAAAATAGTTTTCAAAATCCTATTCAATTTCACTTCACCAAAATGCCAATCTAATCTATGTAAGCCAACTACATACATACATATTTTAGCAGTTAGGTACGAGGCGTACTCAAAGTACTTTGACTCGTGCTAGCCGACATGCCCAGTTCCTCATCTGATTCGTCCGAGTCAAGCGGACTGATACGTATCGCCTGATACCATTTCTTAGTCAGATCGGCCATTTGTGATTTGCACTCGTGTAGTTCCTGGCTATTGAACCGACGTGTAAAGAAAGGAATGAAAAACTTCCGATCCATACGACCAAAGCCACCGACGCGAGTTTGTGCGAAGGATACATCTTCTTCCTCGGTCAATTCAGATAAGTGCTCGGAATCTATCGCTTGTCCCCATTCTCGTGTTTTCGAAAGCGATATGGATTTGCTACGTTTTCGTGAGCGGGTAGCATTTCGACGAGCTACAGTCGAAGAATTTGCATTACGTCCGGAGCGTGTTCGTCGTTTCTTGCCAGGTTTTAAGTATTTCAGCAATGGCATGGTAGAACCACCGAAGAAAAGGGTGGTGATAAGCACAATAATGAGTGTAGTGGTTATGAGCACGCGACGTGTTTCATCGTTTGGCAGATCCAAATGTAAAGATAGCGCATAGGAAATGGCGCCTCGCAAACCCGAAAACCACATGATGAACTGCATTTTGTTGGTAATTTTGTGTTCGCGGAATTTATTAACCAAGAATGCCAATGGAAATATGTTGCATGCACGCCCTATAAGACACAGAACAATCGACCAAATCACAAAAGAAAGTTCCACTTGATGCTTGAAGGAGAATATAGCCAAGCCCAAGTAAGCAAAGACACAAGTTTCAGCGATGAAGGAGAGTGTACGCATTGTTTGTTGCATTGTTATCTGTGTGACAGTAGAGAGGTTGAAATGTGTATAATGCGACATCACAATACCGCAGAATAGTATGGCCATGATTCCACTGAGATGTATACCTTCAGCTAATACATAAGGAGCATAGGTGAACATTAACATCATAGCAAATTCCAGTGATGGATGTTTACGTAGATCAACATGCTTTAAGAGTAGTGCAGATATTAGTGCGAAAATTACGCCGATGCCAGCAGAAGCGAAAAACATTTCACAAAATGTCTTAAGGGCTGAAAAGATTTCCTGGCCAGTTGTGGCTTGTATATTGGCGGACTGTGTGATTGAGGTTGTGAGCACAATCGAAATGGCATCATTTAGTATACTCTCACCAAACACCAACATGTTCAAAATTGGATCTACATCCAGTGCGTGGAATATGGCAACAGTTGCTACTGGGTCCACAGCCGATATCAGCGAGCCGAATGCAAACGATTCAGAAAAGTCGAGCCTAAATGATAAAGAAAAATGTTATTGGTGTTTTAATAAAAATATATTATTAATATTTGTATTTTCTTTCTACTAGCACACTAAGTTGTCTCTTTTTAATTAGCACTTATTTTTTTTTTTTTTAATTTGAAATTGTTACTCACCTATATGCGACCTCTGCTACACCTAGTAGATAACAACCGGCGCCGATAACCAAAGCTGAGATTGTTGTACCAAAAATTGCAAATACTAAAATTGAGCCAATGTTTTGGAAGAAATTGCCCTTATGCAAATTATAACCTGATTCAAAGATTATCGGTGGCAATAGAACCAAAAAGAATCCCGTTGGCGAAAATACCTCCTCACGTTTCCAACTGGCATTCTCAGCCGACATAACCTTCAGCAAAAGTCCAATTAGTGCGCCTAAGAAGACGACTACAATACTTTCTGGCAAATATTGGAATCCCGTTTGCAACATTGAATGTATGAGCAAAATGCCCAACATAATGACGCAGATGACGAAGAAAATTGATAACGAAGAATTGTGTTCCTGCTCTACAGCGTGTTGATCTGGTAGTGGCGGATCTGCAGTGGGTGTTGTGACATTTTGCGTATTGTTTCCGGGTGCCAATGTGCTAGTTCTAGTCGTATTTGCCGGAAGAGCGTTTGTGACATTTGAGCTTTTAATCGGTGAGTCTGATATGCTGGCATTTGTAATAATATTTAATTGATTGTTGTTGGTAGAATTCACTTGTACAGCACTCTTTCCTTCTGTCGATGCCATACTCTGTGTGCCATTATTGCCTCCAACTACATTCTGACTCGCGGTTGGAGTTTGATTAGCAGCCAATTGAGGTGACTGTATTGTAGCATTCGTACTTATGTTACTACTGATTAGCGAATTTGCGTTTTCATCTGTGTCGCTAGTGCCTGCATCACTGATGGTACTTCCTACGAAAACGCAAGTAGCAAGCAAAAGCAAATAAACAACAAACTTATACAAATGCATGGTTTATATATTATTTAACCAAGTACGCATATGAATAATCACTTTTAACGCTAGGATTACGCCATCAATAATAATTTTCAACAACTTTTGAGAATATTTCTTTATAAATTTGCAATATTCAAGAAATTTCCACCGACGAATTTTCTTTTACATACTATGTATGAAATTCCAACACGTCACTTTACAAATGTCAATGAAATCATATGTGTAGTTCTGTTTGCCTTTTAGTTTTGTTTATCGATTCTTTGTTGTTGGCCACATCAGGGGTTCACAAACACGAGTTGACAAATGTAAATGCACTATTTCTACAAATTATATTACTATTTAAATATTTTCTAATTATTTCGTTGCCTTTATAGTTAAGTAGATTTCTTCTTAATCTTAGAGTACATTTTTTTTACAGAACAAAGGTTGAGTTGGTGTTTGTTATAGCTGGTTTCTATTTATTTGTTGTTTTGGCGCAAAAACATCCGTTTTTGTTTTTGCCGACTTTTGTTTTGAACACTTTATTCACATACGTATACATATATATATTTTAAAATATATTTTTTTATATATTTTTTTGAATTAGCATAATTTTAACCAGCTTTGAAGATTATCAAAACTGACGAATAATTCGTCCTGTACGCTTGCTTCCTTAGTCTACAGCAACTGAATAATTTGGGTAATAATATTCAGTTTTAACCTCTACAATAGTTTTAACTTATCTTCATTGAATTCATGTAGAGTTTCCAATTCGAGAACACCACTTCTTTACGGCCAATGGAATACTAACACGGGTTTTAGGAAGACACAATGTTTCATTGAACTCCAAAGCAACTTGTCCAAAATATTGTAAGAGGTACAGAAACTGTAAGAAATAACATACAAATAATTTTGATGATAATAAAATCAGCGCCGAAACTGTGATTTTAGATGTTCGATCGTGAACATGTGAAGAAATTATCAACATACAAATTTATTTATAATTAAAAATCATACTACTTTCAAATAAATTTCCTTGAATTGTTGAACGCTACTCACCGAGAATGTTAAGTCAATGAAATTTTGTCTCTTAATCAACTGAGCGGATTATACAAAAAAAAAAATTCAAAAAAAAAAATAAAAGAAAAATATTTATACAGGATGCCGCAGCAAAGTTGATTAATCGAGTACGTGCCTTGATAAGAATAGTACATTTTTGTACGTAACTAGGAAAATACAAAATTTATGTTTTCCAATCGTTCTTTAGGTATTTTTACAAGTCATTTGTTTTTGAAATACATATCATATTCTCAAATAATCAATGCCTGCGATCGCTCACGCACGTCATTAGTAATTGCATATGCGGCGGTCATTCATCTAATGAAGCTGAAAGCAACATCCGCACACACACTTTCCAAGAGAAAAATCAGTTTATTTTCAGAAGATTTCGGAATATATAGTTATGATAAGAAGTATTTGCGAATATATTTCGGTCTTATAATGAGCTGTTTTCATTTAAATTTAAATTAGTATGCATAATTAGAATAATAAACCTTAAAATGCGCAAGTGTGATCCTTGGCCTCAAAAGACCTTACTTATCACAATAACAATAATAAAAAAATAAGGAAAAATGTATATTTACCAAGAATTGGCAAACTTCTCAAGCTTCTAGCGGCTGAGGTGAGATAAATGGGCACAAATAATAATAAATATTTCGACAGAAAAACAAATAAACATTCCCTACCATCTAATCAGTATAACTTTTGTCTTATTTTCAAAAATTTTATATTTTTTTAAAAAGGGCAGATGTTAGTAAAGTTTAATACATGATCTCAAGTAAACATTGCCTTACTTAATATTATATAATCACCAATCGATTGGCATTAACTTATACTGTATATTCATAGAGTTTTGTTGTTGATTTTTTATATTATCATTTTGACAGTCGACTTCATAAAACTGTTATGACGTATTATCCAACATTGCGCACTGCTGTTATAATAAAAGTATTGACACGCGACATTCACTCAACGGTTAAATTTATTTTGACTGAACCAAAGTACCACCACATTCATATTCAGAACCAATTAACTAATCAGTAGTTTTATAATCAAGCTACAGTTTAGGGCTAGGCTTATCTTTTAAATAAATTCACGTTCCATTCATTATGAAAATATTATTTTTAATGGCGTGTATTTGACATGAGTATGAACTGATAATTTAAATATAAATTTATATATATATTATAAGTTTTAAAAAGGAAATATAAATGAGCGTAAACCAAAAATTAAGCTTCAGTCTGTTTTGGAGTTAACTCAGAGTAAGTTCACTTTCGAAATTCAAAGTACTGTGCTAATCAATTTTTTCGAGTACTATAAAAGAAGAAAGTAAAAGTGAATGTGCCGCCAATCCCCAAAAATACAAAAGCTGTGAACATATTTTCAAGAATCGTATTAGAGAGAAATTGTGGCTCGAAATATTATTTATTATACACAAAAGAAAATTTAGAGTGTGTTTTCGTAGTCAAAAACTGAACGCCATCTGTAATAATTTCACGTCCAATAAAATTATATGTATATCTAGTAGAGCTTAAACTTTATTTTAGTATATGCTTTTGTGTTTGACATCAAATATCAAATGATACTCATATACTCATATTTTCTATTAATTGCTGAATTTAATGAATACTATATGTCGCTTTAAATAATTTTCTAGTTATTCATTTACAACTATAAATATTAACACTTTTCAAGAGCCACACATACTGAAAATAATATTTTCAACATTGACATATTTTTCGTGCGTGTTTAATGTGAAAATTGATAACAAGATCAATAAGCAAGCGAATCTTGTTGTATCAAATTTATCGGGATCCATAACATTAGGAAATTCGTCTAGAAATACACCCCTATGCGCCCACTTCAAAACTTATCGACTTTTTAAACGACTACAAATATCCAATCATCTGCAAGAGGTTTTGTTTAGCAATTTTTGTTTTATTTTTAATCTTTGCTAAAAGAAAACAAAAAAGTTAACATCGACGAAGTACGTGAATAAAAACAAAGTGGATGATTAAATGCTGATAGCTACTTCGGCTGAGAACTTTTTACACATATACAAATAGCCTATAACCTCCACCGGCAAGCGAGACTGTGCCGTCTGCTTTTCGCAGGCAACAGCGTTCGGAAGATTAGCGATAACGAACTTTGTTGCCGTCTACACCGCTTCTGCTAGTGTTGACTTCGGGCTGTTATACGTTGTATAAATTCTGAGAGTGCCAAATTGTCAACGCTCTTTTTCTACCCAACCGTCAAGAAGTTCGGACGTGTTTCTGCTTCTGGCCGAATAGATCGCATTTTGTGTTGTTGAATTGTGTGTGCACGCCAACCAAGTAAAAGTAAGCAGCGCTCTACTAGCTAAAATCAGGCAGTCGAAGATTAAGATTCAATTGAAAAATACGAAAAATATATAGGAAGCAGCCAAGTGATTATACGGAGTGTCAGCTCAGTGTGTATTTGGGAATATATACGGCGAATTCACGCAAAAATATTGTGTTACATAAATAAGTACGGTGGGCAGCAGAGTGTTATTTGCAAATTAATTTTTCAAAAGCTTAGTGTGAATAAAACATTCGTGTTTCGAGCTTGCATTCATTATTCTGCTGTCTATTCCACCAACTCAATTCCAAGACAAAAGCAACTCTTCCTTTGCGAAAAATCAATTTGTAGCTCACTGCCTCTTATTGCCGAAAACAAGAAAACAAGATTTTCATCATTTGTTAATTTTCAACAGCATTTCCAAATTTACAATCGTTATACACTACTTCAAATCAACAAAAGAAACACCAACAAGATGCCACAATCCGCAACAAATGGTCACACCAACGGCTGCAATGGAAAGGCGACCGATTCCTATGACATGGAAGATGGACAGACATTCCTTTTTACTTCCGAATCTGTAGGCGAGGGACATCCCGGTAAGTATACAAATACTGAAATAAGTACATATTTTAATGTGTTTGTATCTATGTACATATATTCAAAATGCATTTCATATAAAAGTTGTGCATTCAAGTGAGACGATTTTATGTATGCAGTTTCAACCCCCTTCAAATGTGTGACGGCGTGTGCAACGCAGGTAGACAACGAATTCCTTCAAATGTCAGGCTGCCAAAGTATGGTGGTAAAACCCAATAATCAGTCTGACAGCAAGAAATTTCGTTTGTTTGCATTTCTTTTTAGCACAACAGTCGCCATACCTTTCAAATAATGAATAACATCTGTAATGTTCTCGAAAGCAGCAATAGCTGAAAATTTTTCATTATCATCTGCCAGTTTCTTTGGCATTTGTCCTGTTCAAGCAGATTTTTTGCTTATTGGTTTCGCCGTTCACATGGAGCACCAACAAAATGGCGGCGACTCATTCTTCTCTAGAGACCTAGCATGTATTCGCTAATTTAACCGCTGTGTATGTTCTTTGACATGATCCCTCAGTTATTGCATTGCACTACCTATCGGGGGCCCATATGATTTTGTTTTAAATTAATGTAATTTTTGTATGTTGAAAAGGTATATGTACAATGCTATTTATTTCAATTGCCAAATGAAGATGATAATTTTATGTTGTGGCATTCGAAGTGAAAATGTGTCTTGCTGCTTATTTAAATTTCGTTATTTGGTCTATATCTCGCGTTTGTGAGAACTTTTGAGTTTTCTGTGTGCTATGTATTTCGTATTCCCGAGAACGCGTGTTTCACCGCGCACACAAACGCAAAATAAAGACTCCAAGAACATACACATTTAGGGTGGCCAGGTAGCTGACGGCTGATGCACTTCGTTGCTTTAAGTCATAAATTGTGTGCCAATAAGTTGTAACTTCTATGGTCATATGCATACAAGATTAAAGATTGTGAATAATTATTATCTGTCACTTTTGTTTACAAAGTTGGCTGTAAAATAGCAAAAAGAATTAACATAATAATACATTTTCCAACAGCTGGTCTAACGGATGGATGATGAAACGCCAGCGATAGCATGTTTGTGTTATTCATGCGCACCATGTGCTTGCCCAAAGCTTCGCTATATTCGTCTCTCAATGCTCTCTGTCATTTTCTAATATCTTTGTGGGCGCATGCATGTGCTTGTATTGTATTTTGGATCTCGCACAGCCATGTATCCACGACGCACTCTCTCTTAGCGACAGCATGTTTTTCGTTTTATGCACATACATGCGTAGTTATATATATGTAAAATACGTAATATGCTCCCCAAAACCCATCGATTCTATTTACTTCATTTTCGTTGTGTGCTCTGTCCGCCTCTTGTTTTTATTTGATTTATTTTCACATTTCTTCATACCTCGTTCTTGAAGATTTTGATAATGCATAGTAAAAATTTTAAATTTTTCGATTTTTAATCAGCAGAAGATATACATAAAAGCAATATGAAAAGACTGGCGCCAATGTTCAACACGTGCATGCATAAATACTTATTCTTAAGTCGGTTTTTGTTTTTTCTAGACCTTTTTATGGGCTACATAAGCCAAGCTGAGCTTTATGAATTTACAATAAACCACGTGGTCGCAGTCATCTCAGTTGAAGCGTTGACAGCTAGCTGGTGTATTGCTAGGGCGTTCTGTTCTGTCGTCGGTTGATGATACATTTTGATTTTGTATATATGTATGTGTGTATGCATGAGTGTACCTACTTAGCTCAGCTGTTTTTAATACTTCAATAGTTCTAAGAATATATATATATTTATTTATTATATATGTAAACCAGTAACACATGGAAGTGGATGCTGATAAGGAAGTTAATTCCTTAGGAATATTCAAGATTTTATTAGTAAAATAAAAAAATGGGGTTGCCCTTTAGCTTTTACGTTTTACATATTGTATTGTATACATTATATACATGCACATCTATATATTTCTATTTGCATATAGTGTGGCATGTACATACATACATATGTACGCAAGTGGATCTAATCATTTGCTAATGTAGTGATGTAAAAATGTCATTTTAGTCTACATATGCATATGTATGCACTTACATATGTACACAAGCATGTATTTGTAACTCATCAGCAATAGCTCTTATGAACTAATAGATTCCAATAATTTTTATGCCATAAAAAATGCCATCCAGTTGAAGATGTAAGTTTCACAGTAAATAAAGTACATACAGGATGGGCGCACTACATACATACATACATGTATGTATGAATAATTCGCAGAATTTGCCGAAAGTAGGCTACAATAGTATAATTGCAGCAAACAACAGTATTTAGTACAAAAGTAATTAATAAAAATAGAAAAAAAACATAAAAAATTCAAATTCAATTGTACCCAGTTTGTCCGGGGTGCGTTATACCAACAAAAAAAATCCGTCAGCTTTCAATATTTTTAAGATATCTTAAAATTGATTTTGTCACTTACAGTAAACAACATTATGCAACATGTGAAGTTCACTGCACAGTTCATATATCACACTTAATGGCGCCATAAAGACATTTGTGTAAATCGATAGTCCTATAAATACGTATAAAATAAAATTTTGTTACTCAACAAAAAATTTTCCATTACTAAAACGCTAAAAAACGAAAATCAGAAATTTTTTGTTGCAAAATTGCTAACTTTGGTAAAAATGTAATACTAATTCTATTATATATAGTATATCTGTAGCTATGAATATAACGTGTGAGCCCCTTATTTTCTGACGACTCTGGTGTCATATCACTCACTTGTGCCGAATTGACGGCTGCACGCGCCCAATGTGATATCAAGTGTAGAATTTTACTCACGGTTTGCACAAGGATTGCACGAATTGCACCAGCTTGCAATTGTACACATACATAAATACATAAACATATACTCGTACATATTTATATTTTCTTTATTTAAATATCTATTTACCGACCTTTCCGATTTCGCTTGTTACATTTATGCTGTATAGACAGTTTGGCATTGAATTTCGCTGACCGAGCGTAGAATTATATTTTGGCTACATCTCTTGTCTTGCATAAATTGTGATTTGTTTGAAAATGAATTTGCGCGTGTGACGCTGTAGGCGACGTCATTAATATTTATTCACAATATGTGTTCTCACATACATATGTAAATTTATATATTTACATACATATGTATATATTTATTTATTTATGTACAATTAAGTATTTTATTTGCAAGCTGTTCAATGCAAATACAATTTTTACGCAACACAGAAAAATGTGTGATCAGACTTTGTTGTAGTTTATTTTTGTTTATCGCATTAGCGCTTTGCTGTTAAACTTTCTATGATTTATTTTTTTTTTTTTATACATAAATACATTGTCTTTTGCTCACTAGTTTATTGCTAGCCCCATAATATTTTCGTTTTGCAGAAAGAAGAAGAATGTCTTCAAAATGCATACAATTTTAAACATTCTAAGGGTTTCAAAATTGAAATACCTACGCAATTTCAATCAAAATTTTCGAGCACAAATATATGATACATAAATTTGGGTAGTCAGTGATGGATATCCTAATTTTCAGCATTTGAGTTTCTTATGTGTAAAAATTGTACCGAGAGTTTTTATATTTTATAAAACTCACTAGTTACATTTTCTTATTGTCAGCCCAAAAAAGTTCTGAGATATTATTTAATTAGTACAAGTATACCATATAAAAACCATGTATGTATGTGCACTGAGAATACAAACATTTTATGTCATCCTTATTTTGCACCTACAGAAATGAAAATATGCATATTTGAATATATCATACCATACTTACATATGTACATATATATATATACCCAAATGACACCTACTTTGCATGTACACAAATCTTTTCATTGATATATTTTCTATTTTTAGATAAAATGTGTGACCAAATCAGTGACGCTATTTTGGATGCACACTTGAAGCAGGATCCCAACGCAAAAGTCGCATGTGGTATGTGATTGTTTATGAATATTTTAGTATTAAAAGTATTTCGGACTCTCTTTATCGTAAATTACTGCCTTTCAACTAGATCAGGGCGAATTTGGTAAGATGAAATTGCTACTGCAGCGAATTCAGCTCTTTCCATTAATTGAATTTTTTGTTAGCTTAAATATTCAATTATATGATGTAAAAAATGCGCAGAAATTGTTGTATTTATTCTCCTGTTTTTACATTTAAGAATTCGCGTAGAAATAGTTTGTTTATAATTCAAACTCTTTCGTAGATATTTTTAAGGCAAAACATATACATATATAAAATTGTTATAGTTATACGAGCGATGCATGTTTTTAATTTTTTTTTTTGCATTTTTAGGCCTCCCACCTGTCGGTTCAGATATATTTTGTTAAAAGCTGATTGCTTATATATATATATGCATATACAAATTTTTTAAGTAAACAACTTCCATTGCAATACTCCTGTGTACTACATCACGAAATACGCAATACTTCCACAGCGAAGCCAATCAGAGTTTATTTTGCTCAACTGACTATTATTTTGCTCTTCATTTGATACTACAGTTTTTAGTAAATAAATAAACAAGTCGAACAGCCGAACGACGTACAGTATACAGGAAGTCTGAAAATCGTGCTAAAAGTCGTCAAGCGTACTTTAGTCATAAACAATTTCTTCCTTGATTTGATCGATTTGCATAAGTTTTTAGAACTTTTCATTATGGAATAAATATAACAACTGTGTAGCAACCGTCAGCTGTTCTTCTAATCTTCTTCGGCATGCCTAGCAACGGCCCTTGTACTTTATGATGGTAACGCGTGCGCAAAAGTCCCTCGGCGGCAATGTCAGCATAAGCAAACAAACTCGTAGATTTATTATTTGTTTTATTTATTTTTTATTTTTTTTTTTAATTTTTTCTTTATTTTTTTCTTTATGCGTTGTTAACGCTTCTTTTCATGCGAATCTATAAATAATTTATGTTTTTTGTTTGCTGATTTTAACAGTCACGCCTGAAAGTGGAGTACAAATGACGGACTTTGTTATGACAACGTTTGTAATTCTACTACTCGACGCTAAAATAAATATTTACATCAATTTGAGACTGAAAGACTCGCATACATATTTATAATTGTAAAAAAATATTATATTTATTTACAAATTTAATTTCACAATCGTGTTTGAACTCTAGATAATATTTGACTTTTCTTTCTATGATTTGTAGAAACTGTTGCCAAGACCGGCATGATTCTGCTGTGTGGAGAAATTACATCGGAAGCCGTAATCGATTACCAAAAGGTCGTGCGTGACACAGTCAAACACATTGGGTACGATGACTCATCGAAAGGTAAGTTAGCGTTCGTGTTCAGTAATCTAATTGTAACTACGCCATTGACTTTTGGTGAAACAAAGAAAAATAAGCGCGTTAAAAGAATTTCATGCTTAAAGCACTTACCCAGAGTTTAAATACACTTATGTATACAATATATTAAACCAAACTCTATTCACTAAAAAATTCTCAAGGTTTCGATTGGAAAACATGTAATTTACTTGTTGCACTTGAGCAACAATCAGCCGATATTGCCGCTGGTGTACATATCGATCGTGATGAAGACGATGTAGGCGCTGGTGATCAGGTATTGGAATTTAACCGAATTTTCTTTAAAAAAAAAAAATACATAAACGGAATTTGTTTTGTTGTTGTTTAACTGGCTGGCCTATCATACATACTGCTCATTATAATAAATGGCAAAAGAAACAAAGAAGAAGAAGAAAGAGAATATTATTAACTACATAATTTAATATAATAACAAAAAGCACATTGCATTGAGTAAAATTTCCATGAAGGGCAAAAATAAGTAATGCATTTAAAAGACTAAAATTTGATAACTACATATAGTTTGGGTAAATAAAATGTAAAGGCGGTACATATGTACAAGTGTATGTGCACAAGTAATATGTACTCCACAGCGCATAGAGTGACCACAATAGGCGTCCAGCAAAATCGTTCATTATTTTCCACTTATTCAAAAATAAAAACTAAATATATATATGATTTTTTTAATATTACGAATTTATGAAGAAGCGCATGCCTAGCACTCGGTATCTACATCCATTTTAAATAGCGTCGAAGCGTTTCGCTTTCATCTGGGTTAATGTTGTGTCGTCCAATTCGCAGGGATTATGCATATACATATACTATTTTAATTTTTATTTATATTAAACAATATACATACATATATCTCTATAACAGTACATGTGGTAATTGATTATAATGCAGTTGAATGGGCGATGATTTCAATAAAATTAATGTTTGGCATTGCAGAAGCGGTACATACATAATGTTGAAATTTAGCAACAAAAAATTGCCTATAAAATAATTTCGAGAACTGCAGTTATTTTTCTTGCAAATTGTTAAGATAAAAAAAAATGCTATAAAAATTATGATTTCTTCGTTTCTACATACATACATACTGTTTTAAAACATAAATAAATTTTAGAAAAATAATTCATGATGTATTTTCAAGAAATTTTTCCTACTTACTATAATATTAATATTAATTTAATTAAATAAGAGCTTCACTGACATTTTTCTGATACTGTCATTTAAGCTAAATTCTAGACTTGTAGCTTCCAATCAATCAGCGAACTCTAAAATTGTGGCGAGGTATTTTTTCGCATTTAAACATTTTTTATCAACGTTAGATGGACCCTCAACTATTACATTTTTGATACAAAAGAAAAAATTTTAAATACAAATTATCCGCGGTTTAAATTTTCTATCCTCATTGGTTATTAAAATTTTTGCTATAAATTGTCACATTCATTTATTGAAATATCAGTCTTTTCTATTGCATAACTAAAAGGAATCGTTACAAAAAAATCATAAAAAAAAACAAATTCTATTTTGTGTGCATTTTCTCTCTCTCCCTCTCGTAAATCGAAAAATCGAAAAACTCAAACCGCAAATCCTGTTAAATAAATAAAATCAAGGCTTTGACTATAAAACGTGCAACGTTTTGCTAGCATTGGACCAACAATCGCCGGAAATCGCAGCTGGAGTGCACATAAATCGTGCCGATGAAGAAATCGGTGCCGGAGATCAGGTGTGAACGTGTTTTAACTACGTATAATCTCAATGCGTTTCTGTTGCTTATCCTTCATATTTTCTATTTTGTATTTTAACACTTGTGTTTGAACGTGGTTAAAAAAAAAAATAGATTCACTTTGCAAAATATTTATACATATTTTTCGCTAAAAAAGAATATACATACATACAAATATTTTAATTCGTAGTGCAATATTAGTTTTTTATGCTGCGTCATCAGCACATTTTTCGCGCGCAAAAACATACATATATATATACACACACACACACACAAATTCCGAAAAAAAAGTTAAACATTTGAAGTCATTTTTATGTATGATGAATATGTATGTACATATATATTGTAGTTGTCTTTCGGATTGGCAATTTGTTTCGACAAGTGTTTTACTAAAAAATTTTCTTTAAATATATTCATACATATTAGTGGACTTCTACTACACATATGCATACATATATATATATATACATACAAAAAAAAAACATGTAGAAAAGCTGGCATTGGTGCACGGACACGGTGTTTTTGTATTTTATTTTGTAGTGCAGCAGATTCCGCAGATCAAAATCAAAATCGAACTTTTTTGTTTTAAAAAAATTTAAACTCGAAATTAAAAATAATAAATAAATAAATGAAAGCAAATTTCAATGTATTGGGCCAAATTTTCAGACTTAGTAAAAGTTTTCAAATCTCTGACTTCTTAAAAAAAATTCACACTCCATTTTGTCATCATGTCATTATAATGCTTTGTGCTGTTGCTTACTAGTTGCCTACTAACACTTTAATTTTTTGTATTTTCTTTACTTTCACTAACTGCTCTTGAAATTTAATTTCTGCGCTTTGCATGCTATCGCTATCCTATTGTTTGTTATGCATCCTTGGAATTTTTTTTATTTATGTGAATATGTATATTTCTTAAAGGGCATCATGTTTGGCTATGCCACCGATGAGACCGAGGAATGCATGCCATTGACTGTGGTTTTGGCACACAAATTGAATGAGAAATTGGCTGAGCTCCGTCGCTCCGGCGTATTCAGCTGGGCGCGTCCCGATTCAAAGACACAGGTGAGTAGCAAAGTGCTGCATTTTCACAAATCAATTTTCAAAAAAAAAAAATAAAAATAAAAATAAAAATATCATTTTCCCAATTTCGCACAGGTTACTTGTGAGTACCTCTTCAATCAGGGCGCTGCCGTGCCAAAACGTGTTCACACCATTGTCGTTTCCATTCAGCATTCGGAGAAGATCACCTTGGAAGACTTACGCAAAGAGGTTATGAATAAGGTCGTCAAAGAAGTCATTCCAGCCAAATATTTCGATGCCAACACAATTGTACATATAAATCCATGCGGACTTTTCGTGATTGGCGGTCCCATGGGTGATGCAGGTTTGACTGGCCGCAAAATTATCGTCGACACTTATGGTGGTTGGGGTGCACATGGCGGTGGTGCATTCTCGGGCAAAGACTTTACTAAGGTAGACAGATCGGCCGCGTATGCCGCACGTTGGGTGGCCAAATCGCTCGTGAAAGCCGGCCTTTGCAGACGTTGCTTGGTGCAAGTCTCATACGCTATTGGTTTGGCTGAGCCACTTTCCATTACCGTCTTCGATTATGGCACCTCACACAAATCTCAAAAGGAATTGCTCGACATTGTTAGACGTAATTTCGATTTGCGGCCGGGTATGATTGTCAAGTAAGTTGCTAATTACACTGTAATTATTAATATTTATGTTAATTAACTAAATTTATTTTCACTTTTAATTCGCGCAGAGACTTGCAACTCAGACAGCCAATCTACCAGCGCACAAGTACTTATGGACACTTTGGACGTAACTGTTTCGCGTGGGAGCAGGCAAAGAAGCTACAGATTAATTGACTAGACGCCGATGCGGAGCAGATAACACAGCCGCCGTGTGCTAAAAAGTGTAAAGTTGCGTAATTATTAGTTGTTAATTTAATTATTTTCATTTTAATTGGCTTTTTCCTTTTTTCTTGTGTGTAAAATCACGAATGAAAATAATTGCAAATAACTAAAAAAAAGAGGAAATTGAAAAAGCAATTTAGAAAAGCTATGTACATGAAATTCATCTGACAAAAATTAAGAAACTGAAAAAAAAACAAAAAAAAAAGTGATTTCATAATAATTTTCGTTCCTCTTTACCAATAAATATAATTAGTTTTAGTTTGTTTAAAAATAACATGAAACAAAAACAAAAACACAAAACAAAAACAACAAAATATCCCAATTCAAGTCCTATACGAAAGTATCAGTTGTTTTTATTGTAATTTGTCTACATAATTTTTTTTAAAATTGTACATTTGAATCTGTGTGATGCAAAAGTGGCGCGTCTGTGAAGAGTTCTATGGTAAAGTAAAGAACATACATATATGTATTGTCTCAGCCCTTCTTATTTTGTACTCGTATAAACACAATAATTGTTCGAAATTTTTTGGGTTAAATATATAGCAAAACAGAAAATAATATGCAAAATAAAATATATAAAATGCAATAATGTAATGCTAGTTATTTTTAAACAGAAACAAGAAAATCTATCAAATAAATTGTATTTATTATAAAAATTTAATAGTCATAAAAGCAAAAAGCTTCAATATACTGATGTCATAAAATATTGTATCGTCTCTGTATGCTAAGTGGAACTTCCCAGAATTCAAACATTAAAAAAAAAAACAAAAACAAAAAAAGAAGCTATAAAATTAAAATTAAGAAAACACATTATGACAAGTAACCCCATAAATGCGTTAAAACGCTTAACCATTGTAAACAAATGCAATACAGAGATGAAAAACAATAAGTAATTTACATAAAAATCAAATTAAACAATAAAACTACATACGATAGTGTACAAAAATATTATACTGTACTTACTTTTATACTCCTTTGAGGCCTCGCGGTTAACACTTTGCATCGCAAACTAAGAAACAGGTGTAGTGATCTAAGTGATATACGCCAAAATATCCATTAATAGTTCATCAGGAGGTATAATCCTCTTGCCGTTACTCAAAGTCATCGACCATCACTGGTTTTACGTAGGTCCAAGACCTAGGTATAATTTTAAATAGTAAACTCACTTGCGTCCAAAATACGGTAGAAAGGAGTAAGAAAACGATGGTCGCACTCTACATCAGCAAGGCGGCAATATCTAAAAGAGGGGAACTAATATCGTGCATATATACAATAGTATATTGGCCATAATAAGCCGTTGTTCCAATCCCACTTAGGGACAGGCTAGTTAGTCTTAGTCACCGAGGTCTTCTAACCAGAGGTCCAGGAAACGAGCTGTTTCGACGGTTTCAAAGAAGACAGAGAGGGGGTTAGATGTGTCCGTCTTAGCGGACATGTAAAGAGATGTTTAGTGTCGTGCGGGGACTCGTTGCATGCTGGACATATATCGGATATGTCGGGGTGGAGTCTGGAAGGTAGGAGTTTAACCTGCTACAATATCCAGACCTAAGTTACGTCAGTTGTTGTTGTTGTTGTTGTAGCGGTTCGCTAACCCCGCTTAGGCACAGTTTTGTTCAGTCTAAGTCACCGAGGTCATCTAGTGGTAGGTCCAGGAAACGAGCTGTTTCGACGGGGTCGGACCAAAGGGTTAGATGAGTTTGAGGGGGCATGTGAAGAGGTGGTTAGTATCGTGCGGGGACTCTCCACATGCCGGGCATACGTTAGGTATGCTGGGGTCTAGTCTGGATAGGTAGGAGTTTAACCTGCTACAATATCCAGATCTGAGTTGTGTCAGGGTACGTCAGTATTACGTGCCAGTTCGAGCTTTTCGTTTGCAATGACTTGACGCCGAGGACGCCGTTCATTGTAAGAGAGATCAAGAAGGTAGTGTTTGAAGCCTGTTACTGTATGGTGGTCGGCAGTAGATGGAGCGACTTACAGGTGCAAGGTGGACAAATTTCAGCGGAGAGCCTCCATTCTCATCACACGAGCGCTGCCAGCAACTGCTAAGAGAGCACTTAAAATTCTCCTCTCAGACCTGTAGGTAAACTTATACCATAAGGTTAAATGTAACTCTACCATAGAGAAACCGCACCAGACACGTCCAATATTGAATTATACACCATTATTGGAAGAGCTGCACTGCACAACTTCTGTTTTGAACATTTTCTCTACAAAAACAAAAAAAAAACAGAGAGGAAGGAATGGGTAATCAAAACAGGTCTGTATCAATGATCCGAAGCCATTTTCACTGACGGATGGAATTTCGGATGTAGGGTGGGCTGTGGAGTCCACTCTGAACCATTTGTTATCAATAAGCAAAAGACTTATCGACCAATACAGCGTATTTCAAGCTGAACTCGCCGCAAAAATGGAAGCCGCTCCATAATTATGTTTGAGGTGATGTGATTGCAACGAAGAATCTTAATGCCAGAGTATATTGTAATAAGTAGAATTAACATTTCAACTCTAAAATGGTAACTCTATTACTTATTACAATATATTCGGACAAAAAAATGTAGAGGAATCTAAAACGAATTCTCCATGACCTACATCCTTCTAGCTGACACATTCACTTCGCATTATTCTCCGGTTTGAAGAAAGCGGGACTAACGAGCGGTTGATAAGGCCGACGATGCTCCAGGACCGTCTTAGTCGTGGCAGAGTTTTTGTGTTTCCCCGTCATCAAATATCACTGCAGCGTAAATTTTAACGGGATACTATATTCAGACATGGTTACTGCGTATGTAACGATCGTTTCGTGTTATCGTAGGTTATTTTGAAATCGAAGAATCGGTAGTGTCTTCGCACTGTCTTTTTCAAGATGTGGGTGGCTCAAGATCAAAATCTGGACATACATAGATTTGAAAAGCCATGCTGATCAGGTAATGGCAATCCTCATCCTGCCAGTTCAACTTTTGAACTTTTCGAAAGCCTATAGATTCGGCAATATATTTATCGAAATATGAAATGGATTTAATGCCTGAAAAGATGATAAACGATTTATGAAAAGTTGAAATCCCATACTACCAAAGAGAAGGAAGGTGCGTATTTTAATAAAGAAATAGTACAACTTTGGCTCAAAATCCCAAATCTGGCATAATTCTTTTACAACCAATGAAGCACTTCTTAAATATACCAAGTTTTAATCTACAATTCAACATTTAAGCTGAGTTGATATCCTCTTGACCGTTTCCGTTTGTCATTTCCGTTTCCACAAGCCGTTTGCGCTAAGTGCTGGAAAACGTATGAAAAAGTTTTTGTTGTGTTTTGAGTAAAATTTTAAATTCTATTTTCTGCGAAAGGATAAAGATGTTTATATTTCACAGAAAGTTGGTTACAAATAAAGATATTGCAAAACAAAGTGCTTAAGATTCCTTCTAATAATTTTTTATAAATTTTAGTATTGCTTCGCAACCCTGAATAACAGCTGTTATGGTGTACACGTCAAATAAAAAACAAAAGTTTCAGAAAAGCCGATAAGTCTGGAAAGATTGTTTGATGGATAAGTTTTATTGATAAGTAAAATCCACGTAAACTCACAAAACGGTTTTCTAATACTTACTTAAAATGTTGACAGAAAATGCTTTGGTTACATTTTTGTGTATGTTGACGTTGGTGCCACTAGACTGTGGTGCTGTGGAGGGATTTAATAAATCACCAAAGGAGATAAAAGAAAAGTCATCCAAACTACCACCTTGCAAATCATGTACAGTGCTTGTGGAGTCATTCAATGTGGTTTGTATTTTATGATTCCCATGTAAATTACACATATGTTGACTGCAATTATTTGAAAAATAGGGCTTGGAAAAAACTAGTCGCGGTAAACATGCTGGTGGTGATGCGGCTTGGGAAGAGGAGAAGCTACGTTCGTATAAAACCAGTGAAGTGCGTTTAGTAGAGGTGCAAGAGCAATTATGCCGAGATGTTATACGTGGTCAGGATCAGTGTCATACCATGGCCAATGACCATGAACATTTGCTTGAAGAATGGTTTTTGCATAAGCAAACTGACATGCCTGACTTGCATGCTTGGCTTTGTATTGAACAATTGAAAATGTGTTGCCCGGAAGGCCATTTTGGAGTGGAGTGCAAAGCCTGCACTGATTGCAGTGGGAATGGTAAGTGCTGTTAGCTACAATGCTATACATACATATTAGTTACATACCGTTATATTACTCTTGTACGTAGGAAAATGTAAGGGTGCTGGCACTAGAAAAGGCAATGGAAAATGCGCTTGTGATAAGGGATTTACGGGTGATAAATGTAATAAGTGCGCTGATAATTTTTACGAAGCTTACAATGATGGGGAAAAGATGCTATGCTCCGAATGTCATAAGTCTTGTAGCGAGGGAGGGTGTGCCGGTGCAGGGCCAAAAGGTATGTTGAAAACACTTATTTTAGTACAATCAAAAATTATAAATATGTTTTTCTTTTCACTACTCGTGAAGCGTGTCGCAGTTGCAAAGATGGTTGGATTATGGTCGCAGATTCAGGTTGTCAAGATGTGAATGAATGCCTAGTACAGAAACGACCTTGTCGGCCGAATCAATTCTGCGTAAACGATGAGGGTACCTATTCATGCCTGGAATGTGATCGTTCATGTGATGGTTGCGAGGGTGATGGACCTGACATGTGTAAGCAATGTGCTGCTGGCTATACATTAAAAGATGGGAAATGTCAAGGTAGGTCATATTCTAGTTGGAAGTTTATACGACTGTTTCAAATACATTTGCTTTATTTAAATGTTTACTGTGTTTGTTAAGTTTAGGTAAATATTACTTACTGAAATAATACATTTTCGTATTTCTCTTTTCGTATATCACTTGCTTTGCAAAATTATTATTGTGAAAATCTATGCCTCGAAATATATGTACATAGATGATTCATCTGAGCAACGCGATCAATTCGTGAATATTACACGTTTACTCACCTACTTTGGCCTTTGCATAGCCACTTGCGTTATATTCCAAAGTTCAACACACATCGCTTACATTGTGGGAGCCGCTGTAGCCATTTATATAGCAGCATCCGAATATTGGCTAAATTCTACAGGAACATCAGGAGCAGCTAAACCACAATTCGATACTAAACAACTAGAAGATTTAATTATGAAATCACTTTAATAATATCAAATAATTGTTACGCGAAATATATACAAACGTTCGGAAAATGCAAAAGTTGAAAGTACATACATACGTACATACAAGTATTAACTAGCAAAATTTAATTTTATTCTGTGAATAAAAGTTGTCAAAATGTAGCAAAATCCAGTTGGAAAATATTAAAATATATGAAAAAAAGAATAATTAGGAAAAATGTGTTGCAATTGCAAACCAAGCATATTTAAACAACGCACACACATACATATTAACTATAGAAATATTTACTCACTGCACCATTGCAAATTAATTTTTTTAGTTTTGCATTAAGATGTTGTCTTAATCGTGAATTCGAAAATCTTGCATTTAACATAGAAATTTCTAATCTTCCTCATTGGAGCACTTTGCATTTACTAATACCATTTACAGTTTGTTCATGTGCATGTAATTTGTGTTTAGTTTTATTTATGTTTTATCTGATTTTTGTTTTTCAAAAATTTTGCTTTTTGCAGACGAAAACATAAACGGCGTGAGCGCGGGCGATCCAATAAGCAATAACACAAAAACCGAATTGTAATTGCGATTTACTAGTAACTTTATTAACACCAACGCCTCAAGTAGGTTATAGGTAAAGTGTTTTGCACATACATACATATTTACGAGTATACGACGTACAATCAGCCTCCATTCATTCATCGCTCGTAGTATTTGTAGTAGATACCCGCTTTATCGAGTAGCTGACGGATTTTTATACTTACTTACAAACATACATACATTGATAAAATTTATAACGAGGCTATGCAAACGTATTTATTATTGTTGTAATTGTTTTAAATTATAATTAGTTCGTACTGAGTTGAAGTGCAATGCCTGAATGCCAAAAACAAAATCTAAATTTAAGCGCACTATTAGCTGATAAATATGAATATGAATAGAAATTATATGTACGAGTATGTAACCGATTAACCTAAAATGTATGTACGTAACTGCCATTTTACTAAATGGATGTTGTGCGCAATTTTGGAATAAACTTCCGTTTTTCACAAAATATTTTTAGTACACTTTCCTTTTACTACCCTCAATCCACTTTTGGGTCGTTTTCTAGCTGCGTTATCTCATCGGCGGCTACATTGAATAGACTTAAGTCATTTAATTTAGCTGCCAACGGACCTTCGGACTCAACGAAACTACCGAATAGCTCATATTCGTCTGCCACATCCGCGCCGCCCCGTTCGCTCTCACTACTGCTTGTGTCGCGTTGCATTTTGAGGCATTCATCTAGTGCCGCTAAAGACTCTTCGGCTGCCGCCGTGATAAGGTCCCGTTCTCGTTGTCGCTGCAAGTATTTTTCACGTTCTACATCCACCTCTGCCACAAGGACAGCCTTCTTCTTGCTGTGCAAATGTGGCACCATCTGCGCTGGTAATTCGTCACTTGACCCGCGTGAATTGCAATCAGCTGAGCTGGTTGAGAATGCCTCAGTTTCCAAGAGCAATTTGCCATCCTTCAAAACATAATTCGGTTCCTGTTTGTAGTAGTTGCCGTACAGTTCTTTCAACGTCTTTTTTGTAAGATTAAATTCGCGTACACCAAAGCCCTTCTTCTCATTCTTTCGTCTGTCTTCCTTGCGTTGCTCGTGCGCCAACTGTTCAGCTGCCGTGCGCAAGCCTTCCCCGTCCTCAGAGTTCCGCCTTGATGACCAAGCGCTCGAGATGGACTTTCGTGAGCGTCTGACAATTTGACGGCACTTGTTTGCTATGCCGCCCACTATTTCGGAAACCAGTGCTATGGCACCGAGTAGATAGCCGATACCCATCAAAAGGAACATACCCTCCGTGTCCGCGGTGGTCAATTGACGTTCTTCTTGTATGCGTTCGCGCAGTGCACTGGACGAGCTGGCCTGCAGCAGTTTGCCACTTGCCGAACGTTGCATGGTCCATTTGACTTCGTTGAGAATTTTATTCGTTAGGCCACTTTGCTGTGCTAGCAGAATCATTGAGTCGATTTTACGTTTATAAACTGAATCCCGTGGATAGAGAAATCCAACTTGAAAGAGTGCAAAACACTCCTCGCTGAGGTGCAATGCTGAGCGTCGCGATATGTTGCTGAAGAGCAGATACTTTTGAATCGAACTATATGTAAGAAATTCAGACATACTCATCGGTGAAATTCTTCTGCACCATAAATTCCAACTGTGCTGCAGAACCGAGAAAGGCGTAATTCCAGAAGAAACTCTGTGTCACGTTGCCTATACCTTCTTCCAGATTTGATACGAACTCCATTTTCTTGTACAGTCTGACTGTGGGCGTATGGGTAGAGTTCTGGAACCAAGTCTCCCAGCCGCCATTGTCTGAAATTATATATCAGTGTATGGGTTAGAGTAATGGACACAAAGTTCCTTCAATTACCCAAAGTTCCAACGCGAAAGAATAGACCCAACAAATCATTCACCGAATCCACAGTACTCGGAAATGCTGGCAATGTAACGAAGGCAATGATGGAGCCGGTATAACAAGCCGTTATAATTATAGTGAATAACCAATAGGAACCTATTAGCAAACGTGTTGATGTTTTCTGTGTACTGGCCCAAGAATACCTGCCCGAGAAAGTCAAGCTGTTGGTGAACATGCCAAAGACATACCAAAACATGTTCTCCATCTCGCCCCAATTCCCAATTAAGTGACGCAAAGTCAGCCGATCACTGTAGACAATGGGAAATATAGCGCCCAAATAAATAATGACAATGCATACCCAAACGGGCCACTGAAAGGGACCCATAATAGCGCGGTATCTGGAAAGTTATAGAGAAGTGAGTGAGTGAAGTTTAAAAGATCAAATCCGCGCATCTGCGGGCGGTACTCACTTCGGTAATGCTTTGGACGCAAGCGTAATAAAGCTGGCACAATCTAGCGAGTGGCCGACAGACATATCGGTGTCCAACATGCGGCCCTCTGTAATATAGAGTCCACACATGCCAATATCAGCAGCTCTACTGGCGACTTGTAATTGTATGCTATCAATTATGCTGAGGCGTTGAATTAAAACAAACGTTTTAACGGGACAATGATAAATGTCTGAAGAGTGAGAGTAACCAAAACTTACCTTTTCATACCCGGTCGGGGCGGTGGCTCAATGATGTCTATAGTGAAATTGAGTTTGGATGCTATCATAGTGAGTAGACGATACTCGAAACCATCCCAGTTGGTGCGGGAAACACCACCAGCTGCTAGACTTTTTATACGAAAAATAAAAGGTGGCTGATTAATGGCCGATACTTGAAAACTATGACCAGCAAAGCCCGTCGTAAACTTTGGCGGAAAGAGATTAACGTGAGGCCGTGAAAATGCGCCCCTAATCCAGCTGGTGAGCACAATGGGCGTGTTAGAGCCCAAACCATCGGTGTACAGCTTGTGTGTATACAGCACGTAAGGACGCTCCTGGAGATTGTAGGGCGTATTGAATAATAAGAATAACTTGCCAAGATTACTAACCACTGCACTTACCCGCAATGAACTCTCTGTCAATGACTCACCTACAACCAGTAGGTTCACAATATTCGATGAAGTTTCGGATGCCAGAAAATCTCTCAGCTTCCATTGTGAAGAGCGTGCAATCAACACAACGCGACTTTCTATCTGTGGCCCAATAATTTTGCGCGTCATTTGTGGATCCGAGAGGAAAAGTATGTAGCTTTTGCAGTGACTATCAATGCGTCGTTTCAGCCTGTGATTAATGGCTTTATAATGTTCATTGATCTCGCCGTGATAGAAACTTATGGGAAAGGTCTGGAAATAATATGAAACTTAAAATACCGAGCTAACACGATTTTACCGACATTCTCATATGTACGCCATCTTTGTACCTTAAATAAAGTCTCCAGTATCATGCCCTCCGACTTCTTCACGAAACTGTCGTAATAGATGACCGGCGGACATTTGTGTAGGTACTCGGTGGCGATTTTATTCACCAACAGCACCAGCGAATCGGTTTGATCGTAGTTATATGAATTCATATGAAATTTATGCGCCAATATTTCGCCGCGCGGCTTGGGATGACCACGAAATATTGGTTTTATTTCGCGTCGCGAGCGACTTGGTAGTAGTGGCACAGTTACATTTCTTTGACGGTATTCACAGTGTCCATACAGCTGTGGGTTGAGATTGTAGCGTTTAATCAAGGTTGCGCTGACACAGCCGGCTTCTGCTAAGCCTCCATCGGCTAGAAGTGCACCCAGCGTTGATTGCAAGCACAACAGCAGCCAACCCAAGCGAGTCATGAATTGCGACCAATCGGACTGTCTGGCCATGACTATGACAATGAGCTTTGGTTGTCACAATGTTGACGGATTCACTACTGTTGACGTTGGCAGGCGGCTCGTGATATTTATCAGCGCGCTAAATTTTATTGGTCACATTGGCTGGACAAGGCTAACTCGTAATTTATTAGTCCTTCATAGTTATCATTAATACATCCATTATTATTATTGTTATTGCCACTGAAGTTTGGTTCGTTGGATGTGGCACGCGATGGGTCATCACCTTTCTATTGGTACTCGTATGTATTCTATTGCTTTTGTTGTTGTTTAGTTTACTTTCGATTTTGAAAACACCTGCGCATAATTGAGTTTCAATATCTGATTTGTGTACGTAAATTATTAGCCACACACCTCATGAAAATGATGACTTTAAAAATCTAGATACTGGACGGTTATGAATCTTTTTTCGGGTTTCTCGAAAACTTCTGCTTTCTGCTCTAGTGAAATGCTGCAGAATGGGAGGCTCCTTGGAGTGAGATAGCTATACACAAACAAAGCGTCATATTTTTTTTTAAACGCGTCTAAGAGATGTTGTAATGAACAGATACATATGAGTGACGACAAGGTCAAAGTCCGATCTTAGAGGTTATTGTAGGTTTTTCTAGTAGGAATGTTTTCCTCTAGCGTAAATCGATGATTTAGTGATTTGAAATGGTCAAGGAACCATGTGTAGTCTACCTAAGCATGAGAAAGTTGCTGAGTGATATTAACCCAGAAGAGGCCAAAAGACCAAGTATATTCTGGGTAGACAACACTCCTTCGTTCAAAGCGGAATTGATGTTTGTGACGTTAACGAAAAGATCACTTTTTAAGGAAATGGCAGTCCGAACAGTGGGAATCTGGTTGTTATCCTCGTCAATAGTCTGGAGGAAACAAAGACGGAAATTGAAATTTGCTACAACAGACATATAAAGAAGCGCAAATTAGGTGTTTGTGATTTGTGGTGATATAGAAACTCTGTCGCTTAGTGCTGACATTTATCTCGCCAGATGAACATCTAGTCACACAGCGATATGATCCAAATATATCATTTGACTTAAACGTGGCTGGTGGATTGCGATTTCGGCAAACAAACCTTATTGACCATATTGCTGATAAATTGCAACAAAGTCGACCTATTTCTGAAGCGGATGGTGACTGGTGATGAAAGTTTAATCACCTACAGCAACCTTTTGGGGGAAGGACATGAGTCAACCAACACAACGGGTATCCAAGGTGGGACTGAGGGCTAGTAGGACAAGGAATCATCCACTAATCTGGATCGTCTGAAGGAAGTAATCGCCCCGAAGCGCTCAGCTTTGGCCAACAGGTGGTGAATTGTGTTTCTTCAGGAGAGCGCCAGACTACACACATCGACAGTGACTTGTTAATTCAATATATTCAATAAACTCTTCTTACGTTGCCTTGCAAATGAGATATAAAAACGAATCCACCAATTTGTTTAATCATAATTTGTTTTCTTTATTTGTAAAATTCATTGATTCTCGATTCGTTTGACATTTTTAAGCACAAAATATTTGATTCACTCGTTAGATGGAAATTGTTTATTACGTAACTGTTTGAATTGCTTAATGATAAAATTATAAAATTGATATTTTTGTTTTATTTATTTTTGCAAATTTATAAACTAAATATTTCCTAAATTCGTATAATATATGTATGTACTTAATACGTTTGTATGTAAACAAAATTGTAGAATTTCTTAATACCAATAATTCACTTTTATAAAATCATAATATTTTTTTTTTTAATACTTTCGATGTCAACTTTGAATGTAGTTTTGTTGAAAATTACAATTTTTCATTTAAATTTTATTAAATTATGCATTTTCGTTTGTGCAATATATTTAAAAATTATTATTATACAAGAAAAAGATTATAATAAAAATTATAAATAAGTTTTTTCTTTTACATTTTTTAAATACTAAGTTGCAATAACGGCAGTGTGGCAACAACAATGTATGAATGAAAAAATTGAAATTATTTTTTAAATGATTTTTGCGCTATGGAGTTCGAATTATTTATTTAATAAAATTGCCATGGTTTTTTTTTTGTTTTGTGAAATGCTGCATGATTCTTTGACTTTATTTTGCAAATAGTGAGTTAATTTCATAAAGATTTACGATACTACGCATAAAGAATTGTATGAGTTTGAACTGCATGATTTTATTTCACCGTAAATGTAAAATACGTTTGCTAGTTTCGTTTGATCTCCTTTAAAATGTTTTCCATTTGTTTAATTTTTCAACGCAGCAGCAGTAATTTATTTGCCTTTCTTTGCACTTAATTATTTTTTAACTTCAGTTATTTATTTTAATTAAAAGTTAAAAAAAAATTATTATTTTCTATTTAATTATTTTCTATTTAAAAGAGTTTACTCAGAGTTAAAATTAATATGTTTTATGGAAAATTGCTAAAAAAAAACAGTAAAAAAATGTAGTGAATTTTAACTATACATTGCTATGCTATAGACGTACACTATACAATATCTAATTCGAAAGATGGTTGAGAAAGAGAAAGGTATGAAAATTTGTTCTGACGTTCTCCGCGCCGAATTTAGCTAAACACTAGAAAACTCAGTATGTGAAATGTGTAAAAAATGGTACAGAAGATTAAATATATAAAATGAATATTCTTTGCTAATGTTAAAAGTAAATTAGGATCAAAGCTCTAAAGCTTTGTAAGCTTCAAAGAGTCTGCGGCCCTTAAAGCTCTAGTGCTATTTCATACTAAATATTATTAAACCTGCTTAGAACTATAATATCTGCTGTACCAACTTGCTATACATTATTCAATAGCAAATACTAGGCGTTCAAATATAGCTATCCTATAAGTATGCAATGTTTTTTGCTTTTGATTGTCTTCTTGCAAAAATTTTAATATAGTTCAACTGTTGGCCAGCATAGACGTTTTTTAAGAATATTAGAAATGATTTTTTAACCAAAAAATATTTGTCTAGCATCTTTAATTTTTCAAAGTTTGATGAATTTGCTGATTTTCAAAAATATATTACTTTCTCAATACATTTTATTTGTACTTACAAAATAAAAATACCTCAATATTCAACTTCTTCTCACGCACATTTTTCGAGCGTTTTCACTGTTCAAAAATTATAGCAAACATTTATCACATATCATAATAATATCGTCAACTACTACATACGTGTACATAGTGTGTTGAAGTAGTAGAAATAACTTAAAAATATTCATGTTTTCTTTTATTACAAATTCTTCACTTCAAAGCTCTACACGTTTTCATTCACACTTTCAAACAACGTGAGAGGGTTGAAAGTTGAAGAAAATCGCTTCGTCTGAAATGAAAAAAAAAGAAATATCTACAACTAGTATTGCGCGCATGCGTGGCCACTTAACTTTCAATAATTTTTTTTCACAATTAAATAATAATAAAAAATTAATACTAAAATTTCATCAAGAATTAAGTTAAAATAAATATTTTTCTTTACTTAACAAAATGCCAAAATTAATTTCGTGTTTTTTTTTGTGTTTGGAACAATTGTAGTGATCTCAGTTTATTGGTGAACATTTTTATGAGTTGATAGTTAGTTTTATTTATTTAATTTAATTTTTAATGCTTTTAATGTTTTTAACGAGTGAATTGCATATTTTGTGCATTTACAAATTGTATGTTTGTATGGTATGTATGCACTATTTCTCCTCTCCGTTTCTTCGTATTTACAAGTTGCGCATGCGCAGTGCAAAGCGCCTGCGCCATCAACTGCAGCTAACTTCGCTTTGCACTAGCTTTAGCTCACAGACACATACACATTTTTAGGATTTTCACTTAAGGCTCCACATACACTTTTGTTATTTACGCTGTCGAATCTTCAATTTCATTGTCGATACGCGATGAACGAATGCCGGATTTGCCGGTCCATGGATAGATGTCGGGGCAGGGCTGACATGTTTTCATATAACGGACACCGGATTTATGCCACAGATTGCAGACCTTAGGATTGTTGCAACGCTTCGGACGATCCTGTGGGTGGGTGGGAGAGAGAGAGAGAGAGAGAGAGAGAGAGAGAGAGAGAGAGAGAGAGAGATAGAAAGAGAGTAGAAGTTCGTTACACATGGCTTGTTATCTTCCTATTTTCTATTCGTTTCACTTACCGAGTAGTCGCATTGGAATGGCTGGAAGGAATTGATACGTGAGATTGGCGTGGGGTCACGCACCCATTGCAACATCTGCCAATTAGTCACAATCCAAACATCGGGCATTTGATTGATGGCATCCAAGAATTTGATGAAACCTTCCTTATGGTGCGGCTGTGTGAACCAGGCAGCATGGTAGAACAGACCAAATGGAGCTCTGAGAGTGATAGAGAAATATTTTACTAATACTGGGTGAGAAGAGAACGAATCTGCATTCGCGCTCGCTAAATAAAGTTATTAAAATACGAATTTAATATGCTCCCAGCTTAATGCGCGAGAGGGCGGAGAAGCCAACTTAGTGTGAGCTATAACTCTTTCCCGTATTCCTCACCTGTTCGTCGTGTAGTGTCGCTCGAAATTTTTCATAATCATTTTTTGAACACCATCAGATTCGCTCGGATTCGAACACGCGTCACCCATTGAACAACGACCACCATTCAAATCTTGCCACATAACCATAGGCACTTGCCACACACCGGGATAGCTGCGTGTCGGGCAAGGTGGTATCATACAATCGTGGAAGATCTTATAATCGAATGTGTAGGGCCAAGATGGTGGACGATTTTCATAGACGGGCAATGATGAATCGTAGGTGAAGTTGGAGTCGTAAAGCATTTTGTACATTTTATTGCCGCCCACCGAGAGGAAAGGCGCGCGCATGCCACGTACATCGGAGAGTTTTACACCGCCGTAAGCGGCGAGTATTTCACGTTGACCGGCTATCTCACGCGTCCATTTCTTTTGTGAGAATTGTTCACCAAAGCTGTGACTGTGGTTGCGTTGAAGTGAGTGGAAATAATAATACTTTAGTTCTTTATTTCGAAAAGGTATTCAATTTTGAGGTTATGTATAATAAAAAAGTAAAAAAATGTTAATTGCTGTTTAGTGTGTGTATATATTGTTGTAATTTCAACTAAAAGATGAGATAAAATTATTAATATGATTAGAAATTATTTTAAATGTTTTTTACATTCATTTATTCTAAGAAAATCTAGTTTCTATCTAAATTTGATAAAATTGATAAAATTTCAAAAATCAAATGATATCAAATTATTAACATAATGGGAAACCCTTTTAAAGTTTTTTTTTTTTTTAAATAAATATAAAGTCTAATCTTTGGATCTCGAAAATATATGCTTAAAAGAATTTTTTTTTCCAAAAAATTGAATTGAATTGATAAATTTTTTTTCAAAATTAAAAAAATTATTGATTTTTTCTTGCAACTGTTTATGATTAAATATTTCAAATCAGTATTAATGTCAAATAAATCTCAAAGTAATCGTGAAATTGATTATCAACTATATTAATTGCATTCTAATCTACCAATAGACACATAATAAAGGGTGTTTTTTTAGACGTGTGATTTTCAGTAACGCAATACTTTTTCTTTTTTTTTTAGGCAGTTTGGCTTGCCTTTTCATATTGAACAGACTTACTCCGGAACCGCCCAGACGAATCGGGAATTCGAGCCGCCATGACGGTTACCTTAGAGGATAAAGCGCATACTCAGAAGCGTTCTACAGTGCGCCCTATCATCGAATGGGCAATGGTAATTATTGGTCCAAAATTTTTCAAAAATGAAGCCGACCATAATGTTACTCTTTGAATTGGGGGATGTCTGTCTTTGGCCGACATTAGGTTCCCACAAGACGACGTTGAATGCCATACAGCCCGTCAATTTATTGAAGGAATTGCTGCTAAAAGTGATCGAAAATTGGTTCTCCAAGGTGGAATTTCATGGTGGTCTCTTGTGCGAAACTTTTTTTTTTTTATATAATGACAAACCCTTATCTCTATAATAAAGCTGAATTCTCGGCCATCACATTAATTTATAAGTGTTTTTTTTTTGTTTGAAAATCTCGTATCTAAAAGAAACACCCTTTACTCACTTCAGAAGTAGGAAAGAAAAGGAAGACAACGAAAAGGGCTACCATAACCAGTCTTAAGAAAGCGTTGGTTGAATGTGTTTAGTTTGTGGTCGCCTGAAGGACTAAAGGGTAAGTTATTAAAGGAAAGTGATTATTTCATGATTAAGTTCCAATCTAATATTCTAACTGTATTCGTGCGCCTTTTTTATTGCGGTAAAGAGTGCTGTTACAAATAATTTTCAAACACTCAAAAAGTGTCCAGTTTTACTATTGTTTCGAATGTGCTACGCACCAGTGCCGAGTATATCCTTTGAGGCCGTAATGGCTGGTGTTTCAGTTGTATTAATGTGTGCGTGTAAATTTGTGTTACTTTTCAAAGTGCAGCTACTTTTTTCAGTTTTTTTTACTAAATACATTTTCTAATGTTTTTTGTGTTTTTTTATGTTTATTTTAGTTTTGCTCAATCTTTTTTTCTACTTACGATACAGTATGCGAGGCCATCTCATGCCCATCGGAATATAAATTTTGCACTTGACTGTAGTCAGTCCACTCGTGCGATACGTAGAAAGTTGCCGTTATCGGACAACCATTCGGATTGACACGCCCCTTTTCGAACAAATCAGTGTACAGTTGTTTATTTAGGTCATTAACGGAATCATCAAAGGTGATTAGCACAATTTGCGGTACAGTCTCAACCGGTAAATCGCCTATCGAAGCGCACACGCGTAATAATTTTCATGATTTTTAATAATTTATTTGCATGAGATGAGTTTTGGGAAACGAGCGGGCCCAGAACATATAAATACATACATATGATATATATATGTATAGTAATAGTAAGGTGTAGAAGAAGGTAGAAGTTGTCGGAATGCCACCAAAAAAAGAGATGATTGATTTGTAAAATAAAAATACAAATTATGGCATGGAAATAAATAAAATAAAAATTAAAAATTAAAACAAATATAGCAAGTTAAAATTAGTAAAAAATATTAATAAAATATTATTCAATAAATAAAAATAAAATTATTTATATAAAACACGCTGAAAAAATGAGAATTGGAATAACAGTGTCAAGATGAGACAATAAAACCAAACATATTTATATATATAGTAAATAAACTGAAACATAATGAGTGACGAACACTTCATCGTTGCATGGAAAATTCGGCTTAAACAAACATCGGGAATGAGGGTCACCACATGCCACACCACAAAATGGTTGATTGTTTATGGTATGCAAAATATATGCATTGTATTAAATTAAGCAACAAAAAAAACAGCCTCCACACAGCTTTCGTAAAAAGCTCCTCAACGCTCAACTTACGAGACTGAATGCGAAGCCATTTCATGCCCGTCCGAATAAAGATTCTGCACCATGCCGTAATCGGTCCACTCGTGCGAAACATAAAAGGTGGCGCGTAATGGGCAGCCATTGGGATTAAAGCGCGTTTGATTGTTGAACATTTCCTCGTAAAGATCGATATTTAAAGTGCTGATCGCGTCGTCGAAAGTAATTAAAACCATTTGTGGCACCTCAATGACATTTAAACCGCCTAATTTGTTGTGTGAATGAGTATTGAATATATTTTGTAAGTGCTTGTGTTTGTGTGTGTGTAAATCAGGATGAGTGGATGAAAAATTGAGAACAGCTGCCCTAATGTAGGGTGCGCGGAAGTAACGCATTATAAAACAGTATTTTTCAATTAACTTTTTTTACTATTTATTTTTTTTAAGTTTTATTTTACGGTTTTATATTATTCAACTTTGTCTAATTTAATATTATTATCTTTCATTTTGAATTATTATAATTTATTTCATCTTAATTTATTTTATTTTAAATTTTATTTTGTTTTATTTTAGTTTATATTACTTTATTTAATTTAATTTAATTTAATTTAACAAAAATATTCAATTCATACAAACAAACCAGGCCTTTAGTTTACTTAATATTTAAAACAATTTTTTTTTATTTAATGAAATTTAATAATAATAAATTTTATTTAATTTAAAATTTCTTTTATTTTATTTTTTCTTATTTTAATTTATTTGGTTTTATTAATTTTATTTTATATTCTTTTACTTAATTTAATTTATTTAATTTTTAATTTAATTAAATTTTATATTATTTAGTTTTACATCACTAAATATTATTTCATTTTATTATATTTAATTTGGATTAATATTTAGTTTCAATTTTTATTTTTATTTATAGTTGGTAAATTTCAGTTCGTTTCGATATATTATACATTAGTTTTTAATTTAAATTTATTATTGTATATTTTTTATTTTAAATCGGTTTTGATATTTTTTAATTTTTACATTATTTACTTATACGAGTATGTATTAAGTGGACTTGTAAGTAAATATAATCTAGTTTCTTGCTCACTTACCGGGTATATCTTTACCGCCGCAGGCGCAATCGGGCAACAGGCACACATCCTTGCGACACTTAGCAGCGGTCTTGTCGGGTGTAGGTTGTGGGTAGAGTGGATCCGGGCGTGTTGGTGGATTTCTGTAGATATCGACGAATTCCTGTGCCTTCGAAACAATTGTGCCAGAGGGCTTCAATGTAGGGCGAGTACGTCTGAGGATGAGAAATTTTTGTATTTTCAGAAATAAAGTTTAATCTTTGCAATTTATAGAGTTAAATTTTGAACTGTAAACTCACGGTGGATGTGTGCCACGATTGCTGGTCACGGCTGTTGGCGTATCACGCTCCTGACCGGTATAGCTGGAGCTACCACGATTACGATTGTTATTCGAATTTGTTCTATGCAAAAAAATGTCAATTGGATTGTGTAATGTTAGCAACAGCCATAGTTAATGACATTGATTTAGTTATTGTTGTTGGGAATTCGATGGCACAGAAAAATTAAATTTTTTATTTTAATATTATTAAGTATTTGTTCAGCTATACAAGTTAGCTACTTTGCTGCAAGGCAGTTAACAGTGTTGCAAAATAACAGAAAAAAAAAATAAAACACACACAACAGCTACTCTAAATAGGGAAGTTACTTATTTTTAAGCATAAATACAGAAAAGTTAATAATAAAGTCATTAAACACAGGAAATTTAATTATTTGTTTAATTCGATTTGATATCAATCAAATAAGTTAAACTGTTACCAGGAACAAAGTTAGCAGAGGAATTTTGCCACTTAACAGTCTTTAAACAAAATTTACAGTAAAATGTTATTAGCCAATGTTAGTAGCAGAGAATTATTTACATATGGAAGGGCTTTGTGGGTTAATTGCACACGAAAACAAAAAATACCTTTAGCTACCCATACTTTTTTCTTTACAAAATTTACAAGCTGGAAATAAATTAGCAATGCTGTGGGTATTTATGAGAAATGAGAACCGAAAGGATGAATTTTTGTTTGTTTGCTGTAAAGAAAAGTTTAGTTAATTTATTTTTAAAGTGTAATGTAATTGGTTATAAAAGGTGATTTTTAGGTTTTGTAGAGCTTGAGAGGAATTGTTAAGGAATGGCGCAAGGAGAGTTGACAACGGTGGAGCAAGGATATTCAATGAGTTTTGGAAAAAAGAGAGAATTAACAGGTTTTTAAGCTTTCTTTTATGAAATTTTCCAACTGAACGAGACGCACGCAAAGTAGTTTTTATATTTTGTGGAGACATTTTAAGGACATCAATCAGCCGAGCGCCAAAGAGATATTTTTAAGGACCAATTTTAATACAAAACATAAAGTAATACATATTTATTTTAGGAAAATAGGGCCAAAAAGTGGAGATTTTCAAGTAAAGAGAAATTTAAAGTGAAAATAATTTTAATTTTTTCATTTGAAAAAGTTGTATCTAAAAAAAAAATAAATCGATTTTGTGTTTTTAATGTACGCTGAATAATTGATGTAAGGATTTACAAAGTTTGACTAAATATTTATCTTTACACTTACTTACTGTCATACAAATGAAAACTTAATTTTTAATATTTTGACTACGATAAAAAATATTCCATATTCGTGCGTAAAAAAAACCTTAGCTTGCGAGGTTCATTGAGCTTTCATTAACCACTGAAATACTGACATATGTTTACGAGCTTTCATTGAGCTTTCATTAACAACGGATGTAAATGTATATTATGTTATATTAAATAATTGCAATTAAAAAAAATATTCTTTGTGATTTCCTATGTAATATTTGCTTGAACTGTACAGCTCTAAAGCTCTAACTAAAACTTTTGCTTCTATGACGTTTGCGTTTATGAATTCCGAGAGGGTTTGTTGAGGGAGACAAGTTAAATTCTTACTTAAACATCGTTACAATATGAAAATTAAAAACTGAAGCTTTTCTCATCGCACTCATCGCACCGGTTTTGCTACAGATTATAGCAAAAATACCAAACGGCTTTGTTTTCCAATTAGAAATTGAAAATAAAAAATTTAAAAATAATTTTTTTTTATATGTAGTTTCATGTCCAAAATATAGATTATTTAAAAGTATATTTTTTCCATTATAGCAAATGTGAAAGAGTATAAAAATGTGTTAGCATTAGCGCAGAGTTAATGAGATAAATTTAAAAGTATAGGAAGAAAAGGAAAGCTCTTTTATGTTATTCATACCGCTGGCCTGTTCTTATCGTGGAGTTCTGAATAAAACACATGAAATTGAGCTGGTAAATTCCTATAATTAGCACGAAGTTTATTTAAAAAAATGTCGGATATTTTTTTTCAGTTTGCGAAAAAATTGAAAATTGCTTATTGTTGATTAAAAATTTGTAAGTTTTTCATTGAAAATCGCTTGTGAGTATTCAAGACAGAAAAGTGTAATTGGAAAAAGTGGTAAAAATGGTTCGATTAGGTGGTAAAATAGTGCAAAAAGCTAACTAGTAAGTGCAGATTGGTTAAACAAACAAAAAACTCTTTCGGTTCTCAGTAAATACTAAAAAATCAAATAAATAAATTAAAAGGAAGAAAGAGAAAAAGAGAGAGAGAGTCGGTATCGGCTCTAACTAATAAAAAATCTCAGTACAAAAATTATTTTGTTTTTTTTTTTATAAAAGAAGTCTATAAACTGAAATAAAAACAACTAACCACCACCTTTTCCAAGAAAAAAATTTAAGTATATATATGAGAGAAAAAATTATTAAATTTCTATGGTGAAATAACTAAAATTTTGAAACTCTTTTTAAGTAATTATTCAGCGTACACCAAAACGAAAAGAAAAAAATTTAATTTTCGTCTTTTGAAATCAAAATTGCAAGGGGAAGGGAACAACTAACAACTACATACAGTACAGTAGACTATGAATAATTTGATTTGGTTGCTAATTTTTCGTTTGAAAAATAAACAATAGAGACACTTGGCAACTTCATTGGCCGCCAGCGTCTGTTAAGATAGTTTTTTGAACGAAATTATTTTTTCTTTTAGGTATTGAAGTTGCTGCTACATAATTAAATAATAATAAAAGTGAGTTCTTCTAGTGACTTGTTTCTAAATAGTTGTAGTTGCTTTGTTGTTGTAGTTGGTTAAGTACCTCGAGGGAATTTCGTTGCACTTGGCATTCGATGTGGTGTCGGAGCATTTGATCACACCACCGGCATTCTGGATATAATTACTGGCCTTTAAGCTGTTACCCCGAGCCGGATTGGAGGAAGTCACAGCTGCTGATGATGCCTGGGATGTGACGGAGTTGGATGCGGAGGGCGAAGAAGGAGCAGAGTAAGCGGCAGCAGCTATCGATGACTTGATGGCATTATTGACTCTTGAAGCGCGCATTGGCGTTAACAGGGATTTGGCAGTGCTCGCTGGCGTGCTGCTGCTGATGGTGGTAGAATGGGAGGAAGACGTGTTGGTGGTTGTGGTAGAGGTAGTGGTGGAGGTGGGGGCTGTGGTGTTGGGCGAAATGGCGTTGTCGTTAGCTGATCTTAGTGTAGGTGAGGTAAGCTTTGCTTGTGTATGTGGGTTTTGTGTGGAGAAACGGTTGTTCGCATGAGTTGGTGTATTTACGGTTGTTGTTGTTTTAGGTGTCGTACGATAAGCGGGGGTCGGCGGCAGCGCTGTGGTGGTCGGACGTAATGTAGTTGTTGTAGTGGTCGTCGGCAGAGGTTTTCGTGTAGTCGTCGTCGTCGACGTTGTTGTGGTCGTAGATGTCGATGTCGTCGTGCTACTAGTGGACGTGGCGCTTGCCCCTCTTCCTTTTGTGGAGGTGTATAAATTTTTTATCTCCTTCACTGCCGCATTTATTTCACGCTCTGAAAAGTCATCCACGAACTGTTGTGCACTGCTCTCATCACTATCGCCGGCGAGGAAAAGTTGCAGCTGCTCCAGCACCGAAGCTGGTTCGAACTTTGTGCGGCTGGTGCTTGATGTTATATAACCTGCATTCTGCAGGCTCTCTGCCAATGTACGATCCTTAGTCTGCTGGCGATATTTATTTGAGAACAAATACTTAAGTGGACGATCCTTCACTTGTTGCTCCGAAGAGGACGATGCGCTGGTGGCACCTGCGGACTCAATACTATTGTCCTGCTTTCCGTCGATTGGCTGTCGCACTAAGGCCTCGGCACGAGGTCCGCTTTCATCGGCAGTTGACTCGTTTTCAATGGGTTTGCGATTAATGGTTTTCTGGACAGCATTTGTGTTTGTAGCCACCTGCTGTTGCTTCTTCTCAGTTTTATAGCTATCGTATTTCTCACGGGATTTGCCTGAGCTCGCACCCAGCGCATTGCGTTGACCTTGTATGGGCACGACCCGTGCACGTTGTAGATTTCTTCGTTTTGCGTAGGAATCGTCAGGCGCAGACGTGAAAGATATTTGTCCATTGGAGCCACCACCTGAGTAACGTACTCTTGGCGCATAGGTGGTTGGCTCATCGGCTGCGTTCAAAGTTGCCGCAGAGTAGCGAGAGCGTCCCCGTGGACGCGGCGTCTCCGAGCTAATGGTGCCGAAGTCGCCTACTGTTTCCGCTCTTGGAACATTTTTACCCGTAGCTACCTGCGACACTCGTATGGGTGCTGTCACAATTACTGTGGACGTAGTGGTCGGTGTTGTACTCTCGGTTGTAGCCTCTGTGGTTGGCGCTTCGGTGGTAGTTGTCGTCGTTGTTGTTGTTGTTTTCAACGCTTTTGGCACGATTTGGGGTGTATTTGAGAATGAGTTCAGTATGGTGTCGCTTACACTGAAGTTTCGTGTACCTGACGAGGCTGTCGCAAAAATGGCATCACTAAGATTACGCTGTGGGGTGGTGATGAGGAAATAGCTGCGTACAGGTTTGACGCTTGTGGATTGTGTAGGTGTCGTAGACGTCGTGGGATTTGTGTAACGTGGCTTCACCGTGCTACGAAGCGTATTAAAACCCGTGTAGCGATCTTCCTTTTCTTGCAGTATAGTCTCCAGACTTTTGTAGGGTGAAACGAAACGTTGCGCGGGCATACCAGTGGTTCTGATCAGGTTATCTTTAAAGTTGAGCGTGCGAGGTGTGTAACTTTGCGCAGAGCGTTCGGTGGTGGATACTACTAAGGTGCTTAACGGCGTTGGTGTCGTGGTCGTAGTTGTAGTTGTAGTCGTGGTTGTTGTGGTCGTAGCCGTTGTGCGTGGAGTTGTGGTCGTGGTGCGTGGAGTAGTGGTCGTGGTGCGTGGAGTAGTGGTCGTGCTGCGTGGGGTTGTAGTCGTTGTGCGTGGAGTAGTGGTCGTGCTGCGTGGGGTTGTAGTCGTGGTGCGTGGAGTAGTGGTCGTGCTGCGTGGGATTGTAGTCGTTGTGCGTGGAGTTGTGGTCGTCGTTGTTGTGGAGCTGCTTGTTATTGGTCGCGCTGTGCTTGTTTCCTTCAAAGCAGTCACCACACTTTGCTCGCTGCCCGAACTGGATACATGATCGTCCTCAGAATCGGTTGTCAGGACAATTTGTTGTAAGGGTTTTGCGCTAACACGGCCTAAACGCCAAAGGGAACGTGAAGGTGGCGCATATGTGGTTGGTACAATGTCATCTTCATAGGAAGCTTCGAAATACGGTGATTTCTGTACTGGTGTATTCATGGTGGTGGTACTGGTGGAGGGTACTACAATAGTGTGACTTGTGGTTGACAAAGTTTGCACTGGGACGTTCGGTTTACGCTCATAAATGGGTTTATCAGTCTCCTCCGAGTGCTCTGCGCGCAAACTAAAACCATTGGAGCCTGTCTGAAGATTATACTTGAAAGGTTTCGGTTCGTAAACGATATTTGTAGGATAACGGTGCGTGGTGCTCGAAGCTGAACTCTCGTCACTTATCAGCTCTAATATGGTTTCGGGTTCAGGCTCCACGGCAGGTGGGGATGCAATGTTGGTTGTCGGCACAGGCTTAAAACTCTGTGGTGCCATATCCGAAACAATATAGCTTTGCAAACGACTTTTTGGCGTTTCTGATTCAAAACGTTGCGGTCTCGGACCATCACTCGATATTTTACCACTTTTATACTCGACTGTTTGTTTATTACTATTGAAAAAATTTTCATTCACTGTGTATTTACCTCCTGAAATGGGGTTTTCGCTGATCGTTCGTAACGAGTTCACACGTGAGCCCTCTGTATAATCTTCCACATTATCAATGGCAGCTAAGAACTTCGACCTAACACTCGTCGCTAAGCTTGTAGCCGTGCTCGACTCAAATGGGCGTCCAGCGCTTCTAAAAGGTTGAGAAGTCTGTACTTTTATATTCTGGCTTCCGTCCGATATCGTTTCAATGTCGTCGCCAGTACGAAATCTGTACAAGGATGAGTGGGATAGTGGTGGTATCACAGCTTTGGAAGGGTTTCGGTACTGGTTTTGTTGTGTAAGGCTTGTATAGGTCTTAGCATAGCTATGGGGTTTGGCGACAACCGTTACAAATGTTTCTCCAGATTCGAGATACCGTGAGCTGGGAAATTGTTGGGTTTGGGGTGTGTTTGTTGTTGATGAGGGAACTGGTGGAGCTGGTAGAAGTGTTGTTGTTGTTTTTCTATGTACTAGGGTAGGAAGAGAGGAAGTGGATTGTATGTTGCTGGCGATTGGTTGTTGGGGAGAAGGATGTAATTGTGGGCGTTGGTTCTTTTGGTATTTGTTTGCATGCGTTTTAGATCTGTTGGAGAAATCCATATTTTTGGTTAATGTTAGTGTTGTTGTTCATTTTAGTTTTTTTTTTTTGTTTTTTTTTTTTTTTTGGAGCAGTGGTGCATATATTGGTAGTAGTGGTGGCAGTTGCAATTGCTATTGTTGTTGGTTCGTCAGTTTTTTTTTTTATTATTTAGGTAGGCATTCAACGATTTTTAAATAATTACATTTGAATTTTAGATGTTTCCTATTACTACTTGATTTTTGAGGTTATGTTTCTGCTGTTAATTATATATCGTTGGTAGTGTGAAATATTATTGATGTATATAGTGTTATGTGAATCACCGTTAAAATCTCTTTAGTGGCCTTTAATGAAGGTGGATCCAATATTTTAGTTTAATCGAAGCTCTTTGTAGAGCTTTAAAATGTTTAAAATACACAAAATAATAATAAAAAAATTTAATCATTTAACATTCCCTTCTTTAATTTTCCTTTCCTAGCTAATTCAGATATTCCTAGCTAATTCGATATTAGTATTGAATAACCTTTCCGAGATCCGAGCTCTTCACATTTTTAGTGTTATAAGGACACTTCATTAAATAGAACACTCTAGCCTCTTCTACATGCATTTTCATAAGGAGAACACTAGCAATAACACACTAGTACGAAACGTGCAAAAATTCAAATCCCCAAGCGGAAAAGAAAAATTATGAATCTGTAATTGCAAGCTATGCTATGAAGGCAAAGCTCATGGTTTTTCGAGAAAAAACTTACTAGTGAAAGCACTTTAAAGTAAGCACGTAAGCTTTTTAAAAAAAAAAGCTCTCTAAGAAAAAGCTCTCTTAATTTAAAAGTTTTTTGAATACCAAGATTAAAGAAATCGTCTTATATTTTGAAGAAACACGATTTTTTATATAAGCACACGAACAATAGAAAGCTGTTTTGAGGTAAGCTTTTTAAGCTCTGCATTCAATTTTAAGGTTCAGTGCGAATGAAAACTCTTTTAACTGATAATAGCTTAGTAACAGATATTGAGATAATGGAGCACCTCCGCATTTCCACGACAGCCCGATTACCTGTTTCGCTCTCTCAATTGTAGTTCGCCCTCCAAATACATGTCGAACTTTAAACTTTCGTGAGGGAATTACAGTAACGGAGGGTAATTCGTTCTCAATTGCAATGCGAATTACGACTAAATCGATGCCTTCTCTAATACTTATCAAAATTTTATCGAAACCAGCTGAAAAATCAAAACAAAAGAGAGAAGAAAACACTATTACACAAACATTTATTTGAAACCATACGCTATTTGTATATTAAAGAGGAAAAGAATGAGAAATTATCAAAGAAACTGTCATTAAATGACCAATTCAATCCAAGGTTTTGTTAACCTACACTAAAATCTCTCATTTTCCATGCGAAATCGAAAACTGTCTAACTGTCGTGCCGTGTGAATGGGGGTAATTCGCATTCGTAATTGAGAGGACGAACAATGTATTTCTCGATGTCGTGGAAAAGCTCTATTAACCGCTTTAGAACGTTCGATAGATTTAGACTCGCAAGATTTGAAATTCCTCGTCGAGTAGCGACTAAAATTAGAGAAATTTAATTTCCATAATTTTGGATGTTAGTCGGACCAGGGCTCGATTCTAACCTTACGAGTGGCGGTGTACACTCGGCTGTTGTGGTCGCTTGGACAACATTCCAAGTTAATTAGCTTGGGAATAATTATAAATAATAAGTAATTAAAAATCACAAGTTAGCCATCCAGCATGTCCGCCAAACAAATATTCTTACAAGTCAGCTGAAGAAAAGCTCATCTCTTCGAGTATAATATTTCCTCTAAGCCTACAGTACGAGGCCTGCAATTTTCAACTTGTTTATATGGTTTAGGTGTAATAGAAATGACTGTAATGTAGTTTTATAAGAGAACATTTTGGGATGTTAAAGTGTGAAAAGTTTAAGTGTTTTATGCTCTACTGAGAGAAAGAGAGCACAAAATAGAACGAGAACAAGTAAGGCGCGAATTAGCATTTATGTATACACTTAACCAAGGACTAATGTGTTTGTATGAATTTTTTGTATGTGTTTTACGAACCGATGACTAATAAATATTTCTATGAATGTAAGAAATATGAATAAACACCATGTAAATGTGTATGTATGTATGTATGCATGTATGTGGTTTTAGGTAGTTTAATGAATGCTTGTTGATTGGTGAATTTGAGTAGTTTCAACAAATCAATAAATCCAATTTACTAAAAAATAATAAAAGCCAAAATAAATCAGGCAATGACCGCACGCTGTTACATAATGATGTTTTCAAGCTTTCGAACTGTTGCGCTTTCGAATGAATGCATTTCGGTAGAGACTTCGCATACATAGCATAGATTTTTAGATGAACGTGTTAACGAAACGCTGGTAGGCGTGTTTCAAAAAAGACTATACCTTAACGATTTTGTTGTTGTTGCCGGCTGCGTAGTACGCAAAAGTTGAGTTGTGCCCCTGGTTGTCGTCGTCGTCGTAGTCGTCATCGTTGTCGACGTTGTACGTGGCGTTGTTCTAGGCGCATGCGTTGTTGCTGTTACTGTTGTTGCGCTCGTCGGACGACGCTGCGCCACCGTTGTTGGATTATAATTATTGTTGCCACCGCGTGTTGACTCCGCAACAACTCTACTTGTTGGTGGCTCAACAAAGTTGGTTGTCGTCGGATTGAGCACTTTCTGAATTTCTTGCTCGTAATTCGTCGTATCATAGACATTATACTCATCAGCCTGCTGTGCGGGCAGCGATTTCGGTGCGTAGGTGGTGAAACGTTGTGGCTGCTCGTATACACCACGAGCGGTAATTACCTCATACGAAGGCACATCGTCGTATAGCTCGGCACTATTCGTATCGTATGCTGATTCGTAAATGGGCGCATCATCCACCGGCGCAGGTGCAACATTAAATACGCTACGCACATCACTAACCGGCTGGCGGTGTGGACGTGGCGTTGATGTGGGTGTTGGCAGTGTTTCAATGTTGTTGCGTTCACTGTTTATATGTATGTTTCATTTTTTCGTTTTGTTGTTGTTGTTGTTGTTTTTATTGTGCATATGTATTAGTTGTATAAACCGTTAATTTAAAAGTGATGGTTTGTTGTTGGAACGGTTTTGTGGTGAAATAAAGTGAAGAATTTGGAAAAATTAAAATTGAAATAATAAAAAACGAAAATAAATTTTGATTATCTCAATTTTGATATTTTTTGAATTTGTACGAGCAGGTTGGGTTTGATGTTCTGGTGGTGCGTGTATGTGTGCTGATGCATGCTATGGTGTGCGTGAAATTGCATGTATGTATCTAAAAACTATAACACAGAAAATACCTTTTGAATAGGATTTTTGGCAAATTCACCTCTCACCTCACCTCAAGACTTTTTACCTGTGCGGGTGGGCTTTTCGCCTTTCCTATGCCTGGACTTATGTTATTAGATGCCATTCTCACCAAATGGTACTCATAACAACCTATATATGTATGTATGTATGAATGTTATGTAATAAGTATGTTGTAATTTGTTGGTATGAATTAATTTGGTTTGCTTTGGTTTGGTACATGGACTTGTTTTGGGCTCACACATCATACATTTGTTATTATTATTTTTATTTTTTTAATTTTTATATAATACAGTTAATAATGTTGGTACGTAATTTGTGAACAATGACAGGCAGCTCTCGATTTGTAAGTCGGTTAAATTGTTAATCATAAGTTAATTGGATTTGGTTAGGAATAAAATTATTATTATTAATACTATTATTAAATCGTTTTAATGCCTTTTTTCTTATTTATTAGATTATTAGTTCTTGTTTGTTGTTGTAGTGAATGATTTGGTGCGAGAAAGCATGAATGGACTTACCGCGTTGGTGGACGAGTCGGCTGATCGTACACATTATCCTGTTCGATCTGGCGGAAAGAGAAATTAATTCATGTAACGGGCAATTATTATAGACAAAAAAAGAATGGAAATATTGCATAAAAGTAATAACAAAAAGTAGACAAAATAATTTTAATTTCAAATAAAATAAAATTTTTAAACTTTCAAAAATTAAATTTAGTATGAAGATTAAGTAAGTTTGGGTAATGTTTTCGAACTGTTGGAACAAATTCAGCCAAAAGGCTTTAAAAGAGGCAAATTATCGTAGAGCCTCTATGAAAGCCTCGGTGGTTGTTTTTTTTTTATAAGCCAACTAACTCCGAGCCGTTCGATACCAAACGATATTTCAGGAAAAATGACTCTTCATCGTGGATCTTTTTTAATCTATTCCTCTAGATATTGTAACGTACACGGTTCTCCGGTTTATAGCTGGGCTATCTCTCAGCCGGATTATGGGTCTCTCCTATAATCTCTATAGAAAAAGGACAACACGGATGGTTCTACCTTACACAATTAGCTTTATTTTCAAATGTCCTACTGGCAGCGTTTTCACGACACACCATATATCTTAACCGTATCGTACTGGCAGCGTTTTCACGTCAGCCGTATATCTCTATTGGCAGCGTTTTCACGTCACACCATATATTCTAACTACGACAGCACAAACAGAAGTGTCGTATCACTGCTGATGCTGCTCCTTTTATACTAAATTTTCCTACAGGTGGACAGTTATGCACTGCCTTTTGTTGGTAGGCCTATCGCCTGTTCTCTTTTGCCCTACTTAACAGCGACGGCTCGCTACGGTAGTGCCTAGCTTAAATTTCATATGTATACAAAGTGTATATATGTTTATATATATAATCTTATACTTCTAAAATATAATTAATTATTTATATATGTAAATATATATATATATATTTGTAGGTACTTCATGTTATATATATATATATATGTTGTAACTTCTCTTTCGTTGTTGTTGTTCTTGCTGTGGAGGCTCCAAGGCCTCGGACTTGGGGTCTTCACAATATATTCTATATATAAAATAGGCTTTGTCCTGAAAGACTGGTGGCTCAATTCATATCCACAGGGAATGTGTTCTGCGAATCTCGTATACACCGGATAAGAAAGGACTTACTGGGAAATGGCTGAGACGGATGTCTTAACGTCATGTGAGACCGTAAAAGTGCAAAAGTGCAAAGGAAGGGAAGGAAATCACTCCACATTCTTTCTGACATGACCTCAATTAGCATGCAGGACAGTTGTATCGCTAATGACAGGACATAACCTACTGGGATCATACGCAAGCAGAATGTGGATTAGCAGCAGTGACATAAAGAGGAAATTTAGGAATGTCTAATGCCTGGTGCGACTTTTAATCCCCTTGTCTGTTTTGTTCGGTCCTATGCAAAAGGCATAGCGGCTAGTACAATCTAGCCCTAGATGACTTTTTACATAACTTTTACCTAACCTAACCTGTTTTAAACAACACAGTTAATTCTGATATTATCCGTTTTAGGGCTATTATCCTTTCGGCGAGTTAACCACGGTTATGAAATCAGGTAATTGTAGCATTTTTTTTTAACAAGTTTGAAGGTTTTAGGTAATCGGTCTATATTTAAATATGAGTAAATTTCCTTGTTCACTCACCTGTGCAATGAGATCCTCATCATAGTCCGTATTGTAGATCAACGATTGCTGATTGTTATATGTTGGCTTCTCCTGGGGCTTATAAGTCTCTCGCGGTGCTGGTGTGGTCAGAATTTCTAAAGGACGATAAGTCGACTGTTGGACCGGTTGCTGTTGCTGTTGTTGTTGTTGCCGCACAGGCTGTTGTGGCTGATATTGCTCCTGTTGTTGCTGTTGCTGTTGCTGTTGCTGCTGCTGCTGCTGCTGCTGATACTCTATATCCCTATACAAATCAAGATCATCATCATAAACTGAGTAATATTGTTCATAGGAGCTTTGCTCCTGATTGCTTTGTTGTGCAGCTTGCGGTTGCTGTTGTTGTTGCTGTTGCGATTGCTGTTGCTGTACTTGTTGCTGATATTGCTGTTGCTGTTCAGCCTGTTGCTGTTGTTGCAATTGATGTTGATGTTGATGTTGATGCTGATGCTGATGCTGATGTTGTTGATGTATGTTTGCTTGTGACTCATAACCCGCATGATTTAATAATGACGATGTGTTATAATAATTGCGATTCTGATTCGGGTTTTGTATGGATGGTATCGCCTCCACAATCACCGCTGTCGGCGGGCGTTGTTGCTGTACATTGTAATGACTGGCCGGCGGTTGGGATTGTGGTGATGATGGCGATGATGATGATTCGGGTCTGCGATGAGTGTGGTGAGTTTGTTTTGGGGTTTTTGAGTTTTTGAGTTTTCGAGTTTTGATTGTTTTTGTTTCGATGAATTGTTGTTTTTGTTTGTTTGGTTGTTTGTTTGTTTGTGGATTAATGAATTAGCCGTTAATTATATTATTTATATATATATATTTACAAATACATAATGGCATACAATAATTTGTTTTTGTGCAAGTGTTTAGACCAGTATGAAGTGTGAATTATGTTTTATCATATACATATATATATATAAATATACAGTATTTACAAAAGAGAATAAATATGAGAACGAAAAGAAACAGATTATTTTAAGATTAGTTAAAAAAAAACAGTAAATAACGACTTAGAACAAGTGGAGAGCTGCACAGCTGGGTTAGTCAGTGAGGGAGAGCATAGGTAATGTATATATGTATAGAGAAAGTTAGACATACAGAGATCATGCAAAATGAATATAAACAGGTGAGAGAGAGAGAGAGGCAGAGTAACGAGAGGGAGAGATTTACAGTGAAGAGAAGATAAGGAGAAGAGGAAATGAGTGCAGGTACCGTTGCGGTATAGAGGAGTCCACACAAAGTTTGGCGTACTGGGTCCACTTTTAGTACAGTTTAAGCGTTTTTGGCTATCTTTCAGATACTTTTCTGTTCTTTTTTTGATTTTTGTAAATTAAATATGTAGTAAGGACGTAAAACCGTTGGTATGTATGTACATTTCTGGTATTAGTGACATTTAGTAGTAGTAACTATGTATGTAATAAGTACTTAAGTACAGGTAATTCGTTCCTGTCACGAAGTAAGTAAGTTTATAAACAGTTATTTACATTCATCCTTTACATACAGTAGTGTTGGTGTATGCTCTGAGTATCGTTTGTAGCTATATAAAGCCGCCACAGACTGCAGGAGCGCAAGGACTTAGAGCCGCGACAGCTTAGTGACACACAGACTTCAAGCGGAGGCGAGCTCAGCTCACAGCTCTCGCGACTCTCATTCCAAAGCGCATACTTACAAAACCTGCAGCCGTCAGCGACACGCGCATTACTGTTACTTAATTCGGTGTTGCTGTGACTTCGAACTCGCGCAACAACAAAGGTACGCATGCAACAAGCGCGCACACACACACACACTGTTCAAAATATATGTAAATCTAATGTATCTTCGTTTTTGTACCTTTGTCCACTGTCCGGCATGTCCTCCAAGTGCATGTTCACGTTCAATTGCAACGAACCTAACGCCGAGGAGGCCGGTGTGGCAGCGGGGCGTTTACGAAAACTAAAGTCGGTTTTGTTGCTTTTGACGGGGTTGTTGTTGTTGACGGTGTTCGGCTCCTTGTTCGGGTTGTTTTCACCCTTGTTGGCATGCCATTTGCTTTGACCCCGTTGCTGATGTGGATGCGGTTTCGGACGCACAGTATAACGCATGCGTTGCGTTGTTGTTGTTCTCGTTGTAGTTGTAGTTTGAGTGGTTGTGCTTGTACTCGGCGTTGTTGTTGTTGGTATTGTACGTGGCGTCGTTGTCGTACTCGTCTTAGCAGTCGTCCAATGTATATTGTTGTTGTTATGTGTCAAAGTCGGTACCGTCGAGCCCAGTTGCGGTTTCGGTGGCAATCGTTGCTTAAACTCTTGAAAGATATCGCTCGGAAAGTTGATAAACGATGGTATCTGATTGTGTTGTTTGCTACCTTGATTAGTTGTGGTTGTTGTCTGATAAAATTGCTGGAATTGCGAGCCGCCAAACGGACCACGTGTGGTTGTCGCGTCAATGTATCCCGTCTGGAAGTTGGACTTCACGTGATGTGGATTGGCGGTGGTGGGCGCGGCGGGCGGCATTAGTTGCGGTCGTGACGGTGCCATGGTCTCAGACATGGGCATATACGGTGGCATTTGTGATGGTGGCATTATGTCGTCATCTGTATCGGTGCCGAGTTCCTCCCCCTCTTCCTCATATTCATCGTAGTAGTCGGGCATGGAAGTGCTGCTCGTGGTTGAGAAGGGCTTACCTTGCTGTGTGCTATGCAAATTGAATTTGTGCGCCTGGTTTGGTATACTCTTCAAGAAATCCTCATACCCTTTTGGCGGACGTTTCGTGGGCGATACTGTCGGCCTCTGACGAATCCGCTGTGTTGTCGATTCGATTTGTTCCTCAAATAGATCAGCTGGCTTTTTCACTTGACTAGTGGTAGGATTAGACGCAATGGGTTTGCGTGTTGACTGCGGTGTATTTATTTGTTTGAAATATTTGATCATATTCACTACTTGTGGGTTCATATTGGCCAAGTCTGAAGACTGTAGGCTGGCCACAAACTCGGGTACGTTGAATTGCAGCGTCAAAGCTGGCTTACGCGTGTATTGTTGAGTGTTTGTTATGCCAACAGATGAGGTGGGGCGAGTGATTTTTAACTTTGGAGCGATAGTGGAAGTGCGAACTTTACTGAAAACCTGATAGGACTCCGGCAGTGGTTCGGACTTATTTGAGAAAGCGAGACTTTCGGAATATTTCAGAAAGTTATTGTATTTTGGTATCTTTGTCGTTGTTGTCTCATGAAGCGGTGTCAAATTGGGCGCAGAAACGATGTCGATATTCGAAGTAGGCGGCGCGGACGTCGTATAACGAGGCACCGCACTGGCAAGGAAGGGATTTTCATAAGCTGGCGGCTTTATTGTACTGAAGAAGGCCTTCATCTTCTGATTACCCACTACATTGTAGTTGAAGTAGTTGCTTTCTGTCGTGGTGGGTATGTAGTTGTCGATTATGCTGTATTGCGAGACAAGTTTGGAGGGATATTTCACTGTAGACTTGAAATCACTAACATCCTCTTCGTCTTCTTGTTGCTGTGGGCTGGTATGTTTGTTGTTGTAGAAGCCACCAACGGTGCTGAATTGAGCATAGTGGGAGTTGGGTGTGACTTTAGTAGGTGTCTTGGTTGACTGAAAATATGGCGTTTGTGATACAGTGCTGCCCTGCGGACCCGCACGAATCGCATCCGTCTCCGAATCCTGCTGATTATCCAAATGGTAGTATTGGAAATTCTCCTGCTGCATCTTTTTGCGTTGCTCTTGATACTCCCGCAGTGACTGCAATATGTAAGGTATTAATTCGGGATTGTTGAAGAGATTGGGACGCCGCGCCGAGGTGGTCGACGGACGGAGTGTAGTCGTCGTGCGATAATAATTGGCGGCCATTGGACGAAAATCGTCTTCGATGCGTAGTGGCGGTGGCGGCGGTGGTGGATTCAAGGCAGCTGTGTAGCTAATTTTTTGTTTCTGTCCACCAAAACTTTGTGGGCGCTGCAGTTGCTGCGGATACACTTGATAGCCCGGACTTAGTTGATTGTAGTTTGCTGAAGTGGTTGGTGGTGAGAGGTATGGATTATAAGAACCAAAATTAAAGCCGTTTTGTTGTTGATATGGAGCCGTGTCGATGGAGCGATAATGCGTGCCGGGCACATTTTGTATTTGAAAACGCGCACGCCCATTGAAGAACTGACGCAACTGGCGTGTGCCACGCAGACGCGCCTCGGCGGCGGTGGTATCATTGCTGTTGGTCTCGTAATCCATATCGAGTAGTGAAACAATGCTATTTAGTGTCTCCATAATGGGGTCAGCAGCAGTGGCCGGTATTGTGCCAGAAGAAATGGCTTCACTCTCGGAGTTCGGAGCGTCCATGCGCTTACTACTTGTTGTGGTCACGGAGGAAGCACTATCCACTTGTGTTCGCCCTGCACTGCCTCTCAACTCTTCTAATATTTTTTCTACAATTTCCATAACAGAGTCGTGCATATTTTCGTCTGTTTCCAGGTCTGCCGGCACCGCCTTTTGAGTGGGGCTTTCGGACTGCATGTTTGCTTCTGGTCTGTTTCCGATTTGTAACTGATCATAATCCCCTCCTACATTATCTCGCCGTAGTGTTTCATCCGAATTTAGGTATCCAACGATTTTTGGTTTCTCTAACGTCCTTTGGTCTGCTTCAGTCTTTAAAATCTCACCGGTATTATATACCAGCTCACGAGGTTCGCGTAATGTCTTTGTTTGCTCCTCAGTCTTTAAAATTTCACCGGTATTGAATATAATTTTCGAATCGTCTTTGTTTTCAAAACTTAGCTCCCTCTTGACGCGCTTATGCGGCTTTTCTTCTGAGTATTCTTCTAAGTCCACGTCAGCCAAGTCATTTGCTTCCATTAGGGTTTCAATGTCGAGTTCATTGTGAATTAAGTTGAGGTCAATGTTTTTAGTACTGTAAAGCGGTTTCCAATAGGTCATTCGTAAAATAACGGTATATTAGTTATATTTTAGTTTTCATTCGTCGTCGGTGCCGTCACACAGTCGTAGTGCAAAATAGTAGATGCATTTTTGAGATGAGATTATTTCATTGCGATTATGTAAATTTGTTTGTTTTCGAGTAGTTTCGAATGTTCGATTAATTTGAAGAATTGAAGCAATTAAAAGAAGATTAAGCATTAAATTTGTATGTAAATAAAAAGCATGGTTATTGAGATAAAATAAATGACAGTCGATGCGATCAGTTCGGTACGTTCAATTTAGTACGGCTAAGAAGCAGAAGCGGCACTGTTAGTGAGCCTACAGCGAATACTTACCTAAATTGAGAGCCGAAAGTGTACGAGCCGATCTTGCCGTGATTCGGTATAGCATTGATGCTCGCCTGATGTATGATGCCGTCACGATCGCGCTGCACTTGACTCACTGTGCTCGGTTGGCCACGGTAGACGCGCTGCTGACGATCGCTCTCCTCCTCTTCCACTGGCGGCAGCGTTTCGTGAGCGTCGGCGTAAAGCTGTGAGTGGGCAATTTTTTGTGAATTAGAAATGCGCATTAAGCTACACTGAAAGCCCTATTCTAAGAGTGTATACAAATCAGAGCGCCTGACTATTGTGCCAGAATACTGCGCTTGAAATTATGCTTCATTTCTACGACGAATATTCATACTTTTTGCTTTACTGAAGGTTCAAAGCATAGTTTTGGACACAGAACTGCTTGCGATATTGTACGGTGGATGCATACACTTCGTGACTTTCTTCAGAATAAGCTCTGCTTTTAACTTTTCTTCGTAGTGTTAGCAAACATCTTCATCACTTCTTCTTTTCACTTACCTTCGCAATATCCTCTTGCGTATCAAATGGCTTTGGTGCGTGATTTCCTCGTGTACCGATTACCGTGCCCGCATGCTGTGGCAATGACTGCACCTGCGCCTGTATGACCTGCGGTGGCTGGCGATGATATTGTGGTGGCACAGTCGGTGCTTTGGGTGGCTGTGTAGTCGCCGCCGGACTGCTGAAGGCCGATCCGAAACGTATGCGACTTGGCACATGTTGACTGTTTATCGACTGTTGTTGCTGTTGCTGTTTTGCTGAACGTGCGCCACCGTTGTTAGTTAAGGACGTTGCACCACTATCAACAACTTCACAACCCACATTACGTGGCCAATCACATGTCTGCAACTCGTGCGAATACATCAAGCCGCCGGTGCAGCTCTCGAGTAGTGCTCCACCGAACACACACACATAGTATTGTGTGCAATCGGTTGGATGCGGGTAGTAGCCGAACTCTTCGGGGCAATCGAAATTAATACCATTCGAGGCGGACGCTTTGACATTGGTGCCGAAGCTGCGCGAGCTGGTGATGCGCGATGAACGTTTTTGCTGTGATTGCGCTTGAGCGATGGTGGCTAGAAAAACGGGGAGAGAGAGAAACATACTCGTTAGCACAATAATTGCAAAATGGTTGTTAATTTCTAAAGTTTAGCTTAATTTTAAAAGAAAAAGTTCATTTTGATCAATCAGTTTGAGCTTGCGCGGTCTCACAGTAGCACTTAATATTGTTTGTCACCAACAAATAAAACGCTTAGATATTTAAATACGCGACCTTCACGTGAGTTGCAGTGCACCACGAGCTGTTTATGGATAAAACTAGATTTGTTTTTGCGCTCAAATATTTGCCTCGTGCATCTACGTCGAAGATGAGCTTGCCATATTAGTCAATCTAAGCTGAGTTGAATAATTTATTAATTTCAGTCGGTTCTCATGTCAATTGTGTCTGTTTAATCTGTGCACTCGAGTTATTGAAAAGGTCAAGCATGAAAAGCGTATCTTCTGCTATTCTACTGGCAGCAACGAAGCTAGTGGTATACAGTCGCTAAAGAATAATTATACTTTGCTGGCTTTCAGTTTGCAATTCAATTAATCTAAGATGTTTCCTAAAATGATTAAAAAGTTTCAAGAGCTTCGAAGAATTCTTCAAAAATTACTACTCGAAACTTTGAGTTCTAGAGTTCTCGTTCAACTTGTTGGCGTCGCCACTCTGCTGATTCTACGAGTATTGTTAGCCTTCGATAGAGGCTCCTCGCAAATGGCCACTAGAATAGGCCTACTCGATTAATTTAGCTTCTCCTGAGCTGCCCAACCGTCTATACGAAGATTGACATATTCTATTGCTGAGCGCATCTAACTAACAGTTTTTCGCCTGGCTCTTCTAGAAGGGGTTCCCAGTGCGCGCACAAAATCCCCTTGTAATATCTTTGGCGTGTAGAAGCAATATAAATAGTCTGAATATATAACCTATAACTAAAACTGAAAATCTGGGGTTTATCTCCGACAATTGCTCCTGAATGGTGTTCCTCAAAGAGTACTTTGCAATCTTTACCACTATGTGCAAGCTGCCCCTGTTGTGATGTTGGTAGACCTGATTCCTTTCTGCATCGGTTTTTTTTTAGAGTTTCCGTAGGTTCGTTGGATGATCTCTTTGATTAAAGTTTTATGAGAGATTCAGATTTTTTCTTTTAAAGGCAGCTTTGCAATCCTTCTGTTTTGGAGCTAAATCTCTGCTCAATTAACTGATATGTAGGCAGCCGGATCATATCTAGAATGAAGACTGATCTCTGGTATTGATTTTTGCTGTACTTAGCTGCCACACTCAATGCAACTTCGGATGTGGAGAGTTTTGTGTAAGGAAATTGGTTACTTTAGCTGTTAACGGTTTTCTCGCTATCTTATTCGGTATTCTAAGGCTGATTTAATTCGTACTGCCATTCGTTTCTTGACTGGAGGCCAGAAGAGTGTCTTCGCTCGATAGCGTAATAGGTTCGTTGTTCCTTTTACCTTTTCATTGTTTGCCAAAGATCTATTTTGGTGTTCTTCTATTTTATTGTTTATTACATTTATTTTCGGTTACACTAGTAGGCCGGAAAATGGCCCAGAGGTATACGGAGCTGTTTCCGATCTGCCACTTAGTTCAGTCATAAGCACGTATATTTCGAGATCTTGGCTTAGGGTGGTGCTGTGCCGATATCTCCATACTTACCAATATCAGAAGATGGTCTAATGGTTCATTTTCTTATGAGACTTTCTTCGCGATTCATAAAACTATCGATATTTTCCGTTGAATATTTGTTTCATTTGAAGTATTTATAACGTCTTAGTTCAGTCGTAACGAGAATGGAATTTTCTCCGCTTCGAATACGTAAAACGATGCAACTTTTCAACTATTTTATTGCCGCATATCCAGTATTCGGATAGTATAGTTAAGTTACTCTGAGAGTGAGGTTATATCCTTCTTAGAATTATTTTCGATTCTGCTGTCTGCTGGAATATATATATATATATGTTTGTTTTTCTGTATCTTGCAGTAGTTATTCACTTGCGCCCTGGACTCGTTTTCTATGTCTAGTACTTCCGCTTAAAAATTACTGGTGATTTTGTAAGAAGAGGAGGGGGTTAGATATTAAGATCTTCAGAGTATGGCCCACCCCATCGTCCAGTTTTGGTATGCCAGTATAGAGTGAGAACTTTCTTTTTTCTCTTCTCTATTTGCAGGGAGGATTTTAAGCTACTACTGATGGGAGGACATAAACTGATTTATTTAACGATAAAGCTTGTTTTAGATATAATCTCAGGTTCTAAGATTCGATCACTTTAAGTTTGATTGCGGGACTTTTTATAACTTTGTGCGTGAATTTGTCCAAATTATTGCTAACACTGGGAGAGATTGGTTAGAAACTCTACGTGAGCACATACAGCATTTTCAGAATTCAATTGCCTATGGAACCCCCACCTTTTCTTAATAAGGTAACCGGATTAGGTACAACAAAAACAAAAACACTTTTTGAGCATTGAATGAATTTCTTAAAATAAGTCTTATTGTAAGCCAAAACCAGAATTTTTAAGGTGCATCAAATCGCTATAAAATTCCTCTGCTGGCATTTTCGTTAAGGTCAACGAAGTAAACAACAATGCAAAGCAAAAAAAAAAAAAACATTGCTAAAAATAAATAAAACAATTAACTTCAAACAAGACGAAAAAGAGTCGACAACTTGGCAAACTGGCTCGCATAAAATCAGCACAAACAACAAAGTTCAAAGCAAGACACGTTGAACAATAACAAAAACAGGCTGAAACATAAACAAAGCAATTTTGTATGAAAACTCAACAACCAACAACAAACCATGCGAAGAAGACTCAGGTCGTTAGAAGTACTTGAGTAGGAAAATAATAAAAAAGGTGGTGCAGCAAAACCAGCTAAGCAGCGTAGCAGAGGGGAAAGAGGCTCGCAGTTTTTGCCAAAGCCGTCAACAAACATAAAATGTTGCACCCGTTGCCATTGGTGCGATCGATGATTGCAAGGAACAAGAAGAAGTAGTAGAGCCAGAAAAGAAGAGGATGCTTGCCGCTTCAATGAATGAACACTTCACGGTTACTCGGTGTTGTTGCCACTTGTGGCATGCAGTGACCCGTGGCAGTAGCTGCTGCTGCTAATGCTTGAAGATGCTGCTGATGGTGATGGCAAATGAATTTTCCAACAATTTGAACTCAACAAGTGAGAGTCAGCATGCAGATGTATAATAATGTGTATGCTAATGTTGGCTTAAGTGAATTTGCATATGCAAGAGGAGTTAAAAATTTTAACAAGCAAATATTTTCAAGTAAACATACATATTTACGTACTTGGCTTTCAAGTGCTAACAGACTTCGCTTGCATTTTCATTAATTGTTTTTCTTATTTTTAGATCTTCTTATTTTGCATCTAATGCACTTGCTGCACAAACTCTTTTGGTTTACCGCAACTTTGCCATTTCAGTGTTGACTATCTTCAGCTGGATAGTGGAGAAGCTGCTTCTACGGAATTCCTCCCCCACTTTCGGTTGCTTACGCGCAACGAGTTAATGACCACATGAATTTTGCAACATATTTGTTGTTGCTGAGTAAAAAGCAGTTCCACTCTTTAAGCCACACAAGTTCAGCCAGATATTTGTGTAAACAGCTCACGACACTCATGTATTTATGTATGTACATGTATATATAATCATATGAGGACTGCTGTTCAACTTTTGGCGCTCAACGTCGAGTCCCAGCAATTTTGTTGCAGCAAAGCTGACTGCTGACTGCTTATCGATATTAGTTTTTTTTGTTTTAATATTTCTTCAACAAACGAAACACTTGTTACTGTAGTTCACTAAGTTGGCTACTGGTGCTTGACCTTTCTCAGTCGGTGCGACCGGAATTTTCGCCAAAGTATTCAGGTCAGAAGAGTTACTGTATACACTTTGATATTTACCAACAAAAAAATTAACACAACAAATAAAACAAAATAACATAGAATAAAACCAAATTAAATAAAATATAATAAAATAAAATAACATAAAATAAAAATAAAAAAAAATAAAATAAAATAAAATAAAATAAAATAAAATAAAATAAAATAACATAAAATAAAATAATAAAAAGCAAAAACTGCGAAGAAAAAATAAACCTTTGGATTTACTATGTAATTTGTATATGTGCAGATCCTGCTAGGTGGATATTAAAAATTATATATAATTAAATTTAAGCGACAAAATTTCCTTACCGAATAACAATATTTTTAATTAAGTTTTCTCTGCGTCGTTAAAGAAAACATATTGTACATTCTATTATATGCAAATGTGATATATATTTTGCAATATTATGCAAATTTACTTTGTTTCTTTAGTAATTTTCTTGTATTACGTTACATTGTTGAAACAATTGCAAAATTTTCGTTGTTGCAAGCATTAGCATGCAACTTGATCGCACATGAAGGTATGCATAGAAATATATACATATTTATATCTATTCACATACGTGCATTTTGTACCGTTATTGCCCAACTATCGCGATTAGATTACCCATTGAACAAAAGAGTCAAGCGGCAAACTTGCGTGCCATGGTGACATAAAACATATACAATTCATGCTTGCTTAAGAGCTTTTTTGTTGTAAAAATAAATATATTTATATATATAATTACTTACATACAAAATTTATAATCAGTGTAAAAAGCATTATTTTCTCATACCGTTCACGACAGCAAAAGTAGTTAAAGAATAAACTTGAATTAACCTTTATCAACAAAGCTTGATAAAAATTCGAAACAGTATAAATAAATAAAAACAAAAACAAACAAAGTAGTAATTTATTTCCAGCCTTTGATGCGAATTCTTGATCTACGAACGTATGAGATAACATTTGTAGGTCTTCTGTGCGAACGGGCAGACAAATTACTTCCCCTTCGAGTGGATTGAATGATCGAAGGAAAGAGAAGGAGTGAAGCGAAGAGTGAATACGTCGAGTGTGTATTCATCTAATGTATGTATATGTATGTAGTTCACACCTGTCACGCTCTAATTTTTATTCCCATGACATGAGAGACCGCACGA